ACCTTTCCAAACCAGCCATTTCCTATCTCCTGAAGGTAGTTCAAAGTGTGTCTTTTGAAGCACTGAGACTTGGAGTCTGCAAAGAATAAGAGAAATAAAAAAAGATCAGGGTCATGCAGATGTCGGCATGTGATGTTCTTTTATTATATAATATCTCACAACAGGGGCTAAAAACATCTTTACAACGAAGACACTCAGGAAAAAACAGTATTTACAGTACAGCTCATAGTCAACACTTAAAAACAAACTAGCACACGTTTTTGCACCGTCAACAAAAAAATATTCAAAGACAAAAAAACCCTTCCTAAGACAAAAATCTATTGTTATAATCGATTCATCTGCCACTTATTTCCTCAATTAATTGATAAATTGTTAAGTCTATGACAAAACAGAAAACAGTGAAAAATGACCATCACAATTTATTAGAACTCAAGGTAGCATCATTAAATATCTTGTTTCGTTTGACCAACAGTTCAAAACCTCAAGATTTTCGATTTACCACAGTGTTAAGACAATGAAAGCAGCACATTCTCAAATTTGAGAAGCTGGAACCATCAAATGAAAGTGTTTTTGTTTGAAAAACAAATGACTGAAATAAGCACTTAATTGACTGGGCACAAACCTCTCACTCTATCACTGCAAGTCAGCCAAAATGTCAACCATGGTCTGCTCATACAGAGCAATGATGCAGAATTTTCTCAGATCATAGTTTCCACTTCAGTGACATTGAGTGAGGCCAGTGCTACTGGTTTTACACTCAGTTTGAGACCTTTAATGGATCCACATCAGTGATTCAGGCAACACAGCTGAGCACAGATTAAAGCCCCTCAAAATGAAACTGAAGCTATGCTCAAATGAGAGCTGGAGAATAGGAGAGTTGTTTGAGGTTGTTACCTGCTCCGTCCTGCAGGGCGGGGCAGTTGGGCCTGTCTCGGACTGGTAAGGTGTAGACCTCGGGGAGGGAGGGACATGATGACAGGCTGTCCTCTTGGATGGGACTGGAGCCTCCAGAGCACTCCTCCCCATCTGCATTGTCAAACTCCTGGTTGAGCAACAACAGCACAGACAAATCACAATACTGGTATAATTAAAAATAGAAAATAAACCGTCCTCTTTCACTTAATAATAAGGTTGAATTTAGCAGTGAGTATCAAGCGCAGACAATGAAAGAGCAGCCACTCTGAGCTAATGACAGCCTGTCTGCTAACAAAACAACAACACTGTCAGGTCAAAGGATGGAGGCTTAGTCAAGATTAGACTGAGAGATGATTATTGACCATTTCTACTTCATTAGGTTGGAATCATTGACTCCTGTTTCCATTTCCATACCAAATCCTCCTGCAGTTCATCAAGTCTAGCTAAAAACCATACAGGGGTGCACAAAAGGTGTGACAAAACAAAGAAAGAAAGCAGAGAGAGATGAATAAATCTCTTACATGTTGAAGACTTACATTGAATCCCACTCCTCCTCTCTTACAGCACAGGCAGGTGAGGAGCAGCAGAACAAAAGAGACGAGCCCCGAGCAAGAGATGAGGATGACGACGTAGGGTGGAGGAGAGAGGGATGCAGCCCTGGACTGAGAAACTGAGAGGAAGACAGGAAGAAAATACAAGGGAGGAAAGGATTTAACACAGAAAGTCAGGGTATTTGTGGCTCTATAAGGTGGGGGGGGGCACACTGTTAGGTTTGAGTCAGTGAGAGGAAAAAGAGAAACTTCAACGAATCAAGTGTAAAATCTTGTTACAGAGGTGTTTTGTTTAAAGGGAAACCATTGGAGCGTTTTCTTAGCAGCAGGTTTGGGACACAGTGGAGAACCCCAATGGACAGCTTGCATCAGGGATTTGGGGGGTAAAAAAAGCAGGAAAAGAAACTAAGTTCAAGATCAAAAACATTGTCTGACTCAGTAAAAGAAAATAGAGACTGGAATTAAAGTTTGAAAGTGGGAGAATATACCATTCCAGTAAGGAAAAAAGCATGGGGAGAAGGGGGAATATCAGAAATGGCATTCCACTCAGGAAACACAGTTAAGAAGCAGGGGAGGGGTGGCTGGAGTTTTCATTTAGGTAAAAAGGAGCGCTAACTGGGGAGGGATTGGAAACTGGAAAAGAATTACTCAAATCAGGAAGGTTTACTACTCAGGTGAGAGAGGGAGGGATCGGGACATTTGATATTTGTACCTCAACGTGGTCGATTGTGGGAAGTGAACCATCTGTAGAAAAGAAAAGGGGCAGGGCAGGGTGGTTAAATACCCTTCAGGTATTATCTAAAGGTTTCATTTAAATACTGTAGCCAGAACACGTTAAACACTTCATTACTAACAACAGACGACGAGAGAGAGGAACAATGACACCTTGAAACAATCAGAAGGTGTCCAGCTCATGCTTCTCATAGTGAAGCACATAGCCAATATATAAATGACTTAGTCTATCTTTTCTAAGTCTATGTAAACAAAACAGTATTTTAGGATGCTGGAGTAACATTAGCAGGTTTCATGTATATACTGTACATGTAACTCCAAACACTTCAAGGCTCCATTCACAGATATTAGCCTACGTAAAACACATTATACACATTCTCAACAATGAAAAACACATTACAATCTCCAATTAGTGTAAAGAGGAAAAACAATGAAAGTATCCCATTAAAAATACAAAAAAATAATCCTTTCATTTGTCTTAAACATGGATATTGTTACTGAAACCATACCTATAAATAATTAACTTATAGCATGTTTTATACGTTGGTGCTCCTCTCAAAATGTTTCAGTTTTATTCCGCGTCCCTCAAACAAATCCAAAAATATGTTCATTCATAAGGTGATATTGTAAACACTGCATACATACATTTCAAAGTATATTGAATAATTGACTTAATAAATGTTTTTAAAAAGAAGGTAAACATTTCACTAAAAATATAAGACACAAAAACATGATGTTTATGTGTTTGTAAAATCAGTATAAAGGCCTCACCTCAATTAACATTTTTAATACTTCTCATTTTCTTGCTTAAAAAAAGTTGCAACGCAGACTGAAAGGTAAGTGAGGATGTGTTCAGCATATGAAACTGCCTTTATATCAGAGTGTGAATGGTCCAATCTGTAGCGAATAAAGGAAAATTCCAATAGATATAATCAGTCCTGCATGAGTTTTAGCACATGAAACAAAGAGAGATGAAGCTAATTGTTGATCATAATGCAGGTTATTGCACCTGCAAAACAGAGGCTAAATGTTAAATCTAAATGATCCTCTCTGGCACTAAACATGTACCACAAACATGACTAGTGTCTCAAATCCTGATGCACAATTCCTGTGCAGTGCTATTCTTTCATCTTTCCCTAGACAGATGTCCAGACAGACACTGCATATAAATAGGAACCTAACACGGGGCCTTTTCCACCAGCCCCGGTGCCAACAGCTCTTATCAAAACAATACACCACAATACAATGACTGCACACATTACACAAACACAGCACTCTGCCAGATCTTGGGGGAAGAAGGCATATTCAGATTGAGAAAAATAAAGATGCCAGCAGTGGTTAATGGGCTAAATAATCTCCGGTGCCAAGCGGGGCTATTTATAGACAGAATATCTCGCACTGACCGACGGTTTTAGGCTGCTATTCATACAGTATATGCTGTTTTTAAATGCCATCGATGTGAGGCCCGAGATCGAAACAACCCCCCCCCCCCCCCAAATATTTTCATCACTGCATGCAAATATGGTACCCGACCCATCACCCAATCAGCCTCGCTCCTGTTTTGATTAAGTCAGCCACGTACTGCAATAATAATTCGCATTATGTCTCATAGGCTACTGGCTGAAAACACAGTATTCACCCCAATGTAGAGAGGCCTTTTCATAACTGACTACATCCCCCCTCTCTCCTCCTTTCTCCAGCATCACTGACAGGTTTTCAAACCCCCCCCTCCCTCCCTCCCTCCCTCACACCCCCCCAACCTCTTCCTCTCCTCCGACTCCGCTCACCTTCCCTCTGCGGGGCTCCGAGGGCTCTCTCCGGGCTGAAGTACGACATGATCCCCGCCAGCGCTACCATCACCCAGCAGTGCGGCCGCATCGTCGTCGCGTCCGGAGCAACAACAACACCATCCGAGCGACGCTGCCGACTGTCGGTGTCGGTGTCCTCCTCTCTCCCGTCCCCCCCGCCACGGTCTGTGCCGTCTCCGGGCTCACGCTGTCTCCGTCTCCCCCCTCCGCTTCTCTCCTAATAATAAAAGAGCGGTTCCTTGCCTTCCTTGTTGTGCTCTCCCCCTGTCCCCCTCCTCCTCCCCCCTGCTCTAATCCGCAATTAAACACGGTGTGTGAGATGCTCTATTGTGCATCCTCAGTCCACCGCTCGCTGTACATACATTACTGCCCTCCTGCCTCCGTCTGTGTGGAGCACCGCTGAAAACAACCATCTGCTATTTCTCCTGTTACATATATATATATATATATATATATATATATTTTATATATATATTTTTTTTTTCTTTCTCCCCGTATCTCAGTGTTGGAGGGTTGTCTGTGTTTTTCTCCTCCGCCAGCCTACGTCAGACACACACGGCGCGCATTGTCATGGTCCAGCTTCATCATCATAATGCTACCCCCCGAAAAAAAAAAAAATCTCTGTGATAATATTCCCACAGGGAGCTGTTGATGTGTATGTGGTGCTCAGCAGTGGGTTTCTATTGATCCCATATTGGATTTTTAATCTCTTAAAGTAGGCTATCACGTACCACTTCAATATTCATATGAGGACTTTTGGGTGTGAAGTAATTCTACTACTCCTATTAAATAATCAGGAAAAAAATGAAGTGTTAATTGACCACGCCTTCAAAGAGAGAGGGAATTATTCACGTAAAATAAAACAAAAAGCATTTCTGACTATATTTATCGAGATATGGTGTGAACTGTCATAACTACATTATATTAAACACATTTTTTGGACTTCCAGCAATACATATTAATAAATAAATATAAAGCTGTTGTGTACAAATCATAATTTAAACTCTGTTGGCAGTTTATTTCTTACACCTAGCTAAAACTAATGCAGTCTAATACAACAGTCTTGTAATGAATCCTCCTTCATGATGGTTACAGGGTTCAGTTTTTGTTTACAGTGTTAAGTGCTTATTCAAGTTCATTACCATGTTGGAGACTAGTTTGGCTCAGTGATTTAAAAGAGGCCGACAAAACAATAGAGACAATAGTGTAAACAAATACAATTAAACAGCACCACATACTATACACCTAAATAAACAGTTCCAACAACAACCAAACATCAAATCACTTAATTTGGAGGCTGAGGGTATTTTCTCATTCTACATTTTTAGCAATGAAAAAGTAAGTAAATGTCAATCTTTTGTGAGAGTCATTGATTCTAGTATATGACTCATTAGGCCTTTTTCACAGCAGACATTTTGACTAGAAGGAAAAGCATAGGTGTTACAAATAACATGAACAATGGCTCTGCTCCATTCAAGTGTCCAGTGAACCAGAAAGAACAAAAATAGGACCCTGGAATTGAAGCAGCTAAATGGAATCATCGCCATCGCTAATTTTATTATTTACACCTGTGCTTTTGTTTGTTTAATGTCAAAATGTCTTCTATTAAAAAGGCCTTTACGTCTTAATGACAAAAAAAAAAAATAGAAAAATAGTCCAACTGATGTCACCCTGGATTTATTCATTATTATAGGCTTCACATGAGGAACATGTGGGACTTCAAAAAACAATAACAGAAATAAAAAGTAAAAATAAAAAATAAATCTGAACTATTTTATCCTTACCATCAACCTTTACACCAGATGTGTACTGTATGATTTCACATACAGCTGCAAATAACACATACTGAATAGTCTGCAGATTCTTTTCTAATTATTTCTTCTATAAAATGTCAGAAAAAAGGTGAAAGTGCCCATCATAATTTTCTAGAGCCCAAAGTAACATCTCCTAATTGTTTGTTTTATTCAACCAACAGTGCAAACCCAGAAAGATTCAGTTTACTGTTATATTTGATATACAGAAGCAGTAAATCCACAAATGTGAGAAGCTGGAACCTGATAAAGGTTGGATTTTTTGTTTAAAAAATGACTAATGACTAATGAATAATGAAACTATTAATAATTGAGAGGTTTGCAGATTCATTTTCTGTCATTGTACGAACTGATTCATCAACTAATTGTTTCACCTCCACTGTTCCCACTGTGATTATTTGACTGAGACTACAGACCATTCAGTGTGTGCTGGTGTTTGCTCACCTTAAAACCTTTTAATACTTATAATAACAATAATATAAACCATACGACCAGTTGTTCACTGAGTGTTTTTCTTTGCCGACAGCCTGGGCTCATGCCCCCTGTGATGGCAACCATCTGTCCTGCTGCCGTGTTCATGAGCAAAACGCTGCAGGGGCAGACGTAGCTGCAGCTGAACCTCACCTCTGACCTCGCTGCCGCAGGAATTTCCTTTTCTGGGTGCACCAAAAGAAATCAAAATGGAGGATAAGAGACCTACAATTTGCCTCATCATCAACTTTTTGGCAATAGCTGGACCAGGTTACAAGTATGTTCATAATGTGGTTCTTTAGCCCCCTTTCCATGCCACCCTCTTTCCTCTGGGCCTTTACATTTGTAAACAAACTGCTGGTCACAGCATTTGTCCTCTTACCATCCATCACAGTCTTCAAACAACTGATGAAGACAGTTCATGATTTTAATATTTCATCTCTCCAGCTATCTCTATCCCGCCTTTGTCGCTTTCGGGCAAGTTCTGGGAAGAAGGCGCTGTTGTAAGGCCTTTCCCTCTCATTCACCTCCCTCCCGGGCTCCTTTGCTTTGCCGCTCCTCTGATCGAGCAGGGCCTGGGCTCGCCTCCTTTCTTCAGCCTCCCTCTGTAAACGCTCAGCACGTAATCTCTCTATGGAGCTGGAAATGACAGAATAAAAATTATAGTTATAGCTCAGTGATTATATTCACCACATCACAGCCATATTCCCAATGCTTTGTTTATTCATCAGGGAAACTGGAGCTGACTACAGGAACACCTACATACTCTGAATTACTGGGGTGACATACTTACTATGGTTTATTGTTATATTATGAGCAGTTTTGTAAAAATAATCAGTTGATTTATAAATACCCAGCCAGGTAATATTGATATTCTTACCTCTCTCCACTGCTCCTCTTTTCCCCTTTGTCTCTTTTTTCCCTTTTCTTGCTCTTGTGTTCCTTTCTGTCTTTTATTGCAAGAGCTTTCTTCATATCTTTCAATGGGTCCAAACTATCCTTCAATCTACGATCCTTCTTCTCTCTCTCCTCTTCACTTATTCCCTTTCTCTTTTCTTTTTCTTTCCTTTCTTCTTTTTCTTGACCACTTTTCAGGTACCACGGAGTGACCTCCGTCCCTGGTTGGGGTCCAAGAGACACCAGCAAGCCAATAGCACGCTCCTGCTTCTCCTGAGAAAAAAGAACAAGGAAAACAACAGTTGTGTGAATTGAGTTGAATGAACTGTTTGATGACAGCAGTACCAAATAGCTGTTCAAACCTCCTGAATGTAGAGACGGGCAAAAACAGTAAAATGATTCCCTTTTCCTTTGACTAATATCAGTAACATTTTGACATTATCTGAGATTGATTATAAAACTGGATTACATCCTTGCATTTTAACACTTTGCCCTGAAATAGCACTTTTGTGTGTCCTGTGGTTGTATTTACCCAACTCTCTGTCTGCATTAGTTTTTCCCGATTATCACACTCGGACTGTTTACACTGCTTGTACGCATATTATGGCTGGGCTGCATCCAGAAAACATTTAGCTTTCTGACCACACCAAGAAACTGACCACTTCCATTGATTTTAAATATCTGATCAGCATCTTGACATGACTAAATGATAAAGGTTGATATATCTGAAGTGTAACTGTGGTTCAAAGGTCCAGATGGATAACTGGGTTAACAGGTACACTGTTTACTCAAAATTTCATGGATCTGAACCTGGATCACAACACTTTTTCCTTAGTGCAGTAATATACATTTCACAAACAAGCACCAAATATGACACAAATTCCAGGATATATCAGTTTGTGTTTGACCATTCAGACTGTTGGGCACGGTTATGTGTCTTCACACCTTGGTTCATAAAAGAGCTGTGAGTGAAACGGTAAACAAGCTTTTGCTGAGAACAATCTTATGTAAGTTGAGCTTGAAGGTTCATTGTTGACCTTATAAATAGTAATTTGACCACAAAAAAACATGTTGTCAATAGGTCCACTTGGTTTTTTGAGAGGTTTCAGACAGATTTCTTGTCCCTCACTGACAGATGGGGTTTGCTGAAATGTCATGGGAACGGTTTGTTTGTTAGCTGACCTGAATATGGTATTTCAGTCACATGATAGAAGGTGGTCGTATATAAGAGGAGGAGGAAATCATAACCACTGAATCACTAGAGGAAACCATGCCAGAGAAGAGTGACAGGAGTAGTGGCACCATCACCTTTTCATCTTTCTTTTCTTTGAGATACTCTTCGTTCCCCTTCTTCTCTGAGGACTCCTCCAGAGGAAAAAGATTGAGATGCTCCAGAGCTCCACTTCCTCCACTCCGTTCATCATCATCATNTTCTTTGAGATACTCTTCGTTCCCCTTCTTCTCTGAGGACTCCTCCAGAGGAAAAAGATTGAGATGCTCCAGAGCTCCACTTCCTCCACTCCGTTGTTCATCATCATCATCATCATCTTTTCTTTCTCCTGCTGCCTGGAGAGCAGCTCGGGATTTCCTTCTTAGATACTCTGTACGTGCCTGTGAAGAGGAAGTTAATACAAATTAAATATATAAAAATAAAAAATAAAAGCTTCATATCACTTTAACTGGCAGGGCTAACTATCATTTACTATTATGTTGTTTAGTCTAAGATTGTATCCTTCCTATTTGTGGTATTCTATAAAGGTACTATACAAGTACCACAATAAAGGATGTTCTGTCTCTATAGAAATATTCAAATGATGCACAAGAAAGACATAAGCTGACTATAACTGTTGAGGTGATTATCAAAAGACACATTTAAAGTCATGGAAGATTATCTTTATAAATATTACCAATGGAAGTGTTGTAGTAAAGAAATGCATCTTAGCATAGGGTTGTAAAGACACACTCTAATACATTCTAATGCTATCCTACCTGGTCCACTAAAAAAAACAACCAAAACATTATAAATCAACTACAATTGATTCAGAACTCTGTTGCCCAAGTGCTGACCAGGACCAGAAGGAAGTAACGCATTACATTTGTTTTAAGTCCTTACACTGGTTTACTGTTCCCATTGTAGGAACCAGCATGACTACAGCAGCATGACTCCTAATTTGTCAAGTGCGTTAGTCTAAAATCGTTGTTTTCACTGCTCTCCTTTGTTGTGTTTTATAAGTCAAGTCAATGCATGAACCTGTACTGTGACCTGCTGCTGTGCAAATACAGTTTGTATGATCATCGCTGCAGCTCTACACGTGTGTGATGTATGTTTAGTCAGTGTTGGGGTGGACTCAGACTGTTCACAGCACAATAAACAACTGCTACTCTGCATCATCATGGGAAACATGACAACAGTGGGGTCACCTCTTGCTCGGCACGCTCGACGCGCCGCTTGGCCTCGCGCTCCTCCTCCGCTGCCTGAGCCTCGTCCCTCCGCACGCGAGCGACATTGTCTTTGTTGCGAACGTGCCAGCTCTTCTTAGGGAGGATGTTCATCGTTGCCTTGACGACTGTTGATACTGCACGTTAGCGGTCAGCTAGCTCGGAGGGCTAGCGTCGACTGAAGCGGGAGTGAGCAGGGAACACAAGGAAGATACTCAATTTGTTCAGAAAACCAGAACGTCTGTACTAAAAGGAGGTTGAGGAATGACTAAAGTTAAGAACTGGTTTGATGGGAAGACAGACAGAAACAGAAAAGCCACAGTTTTAAGTGTTGCTGTAGATAGTTGGCTACCACTAAGCTAACGTTAGCCAATGTTTTCTACTTACCAACTTACATTACACTTAACGACACAGCTGTGAGCACACACATTTAACTTGCCCCCTCAAAACAAACTCATAACTTCAAACAATTAAATATCAAAAACAGGATGCAAACACTGTCACTAACCTACTGTGAGAAGAGCTGCTGTTGCTAGCAGCTGCCCCAGGAACAAGTAGACCCAAAGAGGAAGTAAACATTACACATTGGTGCAACACCACACGTTTGACACTAGATGGGGCTATAACTCCTGTCATTTTATTAGAGTAGCACCTTTCTTCAGTAGAGGAATATCGTTTTACAAAACAAAAAGTAGTGTAACTTTGTATTTATAATAAAGGCACTCTTTGCATGGCATTTATGTAATCTAACCATATAACATTAACTTAGGTAGGTTAATAATGAACAGGTTTTAATGAAACTTTTTCAAATTTTCCTCAGAAAACTGACTTCATGGTTTAGAACCAAGAACCACAACACCTTTATTTAGATAATCGTTACAAGATTGTCTGCTAAAACCCAGCCTGCATTATATGACACTGACTTTATACACAACAGGTGCATACAGTCCTTTCAGATGCCTCATCATGTTTCATGTCAAAAGATTCCCTCCAGACATGTTTGCAGATATATAAAAAGACTCTGCTTTGAATAATAATTTATTTGGTTTGAAATTCTGAAATGACACATATGCCTCCTCCCTCACTGAAAAATACAGAATCTTTGAATATGCAAATATTTTTCATTCCAAAAGTTTAACTGCTGGATGCAAGATGTCTCCAATATCACTGAAAGACATTCCTCTGTGCATGTGCAAAACAGGCTTCAAGTCTCCACATGCCACTTGTGTAAGTTGTTTATTGGACCAGGATTGGCACAAAACTAATAGTGATGTCAAAAATCATGCTCGCAGGTAAGCGCCTTAAGCTCAGATTTTATGTGAGCACATAGAAACTTTCCACTTTCAGCAGAATAATTTGGACACAGTCTTTGTAAAACTCCGAACATACATCATTCTGCATTGTGAAGTTCAAACATACAAGAGAAGGAACAATTACCAAAACACATTTTTGAGTGGAGGGGGGTTTAAGGTGATAGAGAAGGTTGAAAACACCAAACATGTTCCATATATTCAGTCTTGTACTCCTGCATTGTGTTTTGATATCTGAAGCTGTCGACTCAGCTCCTCAATCTGCTTGACCAAGAACTTCTTGTCACAGCCCTCCTGCAGGCCAAAGACCCACAACTGCATTAGTAAAACTGTAAGTATTAGGAAACAACATAGGCCAGCTTACATATGATCAAATTCAAGACTATGTAAGTCTTTGCTTTACAGTACACCATAAAGGTTAATGCCAACAGCTTACCAGTTTTAGTTGCGCTCTTAGCAGAGCAACACTTTTCCCATAGACAGAGGCTAGGGCTATGAAATAGCACATCACCACACTGTCAGGCAAAAAAGAGCCATGATTATACACCATAAAATGGACCATGAACGATCATATAATATGCAGGTAAAATATAGGCTGAAATCTATATCTAGATTTAAATACAACACCGTATACACCAGAGTAATAGTCCCCAAGAAAGTATAAATATACTCACCATGATAACGCAAACAGAGGGATGGAGAAGGCCTGGGAGCCAATGAAAAAGAGAAACTCCTGTGTAGTTTTAGAGAGGTTGTAGAAAGAGGTTGGAACAATCGACCACATGGTTGGGAAGAAACGGAAAGGACCACAACCCATAGATGGATGGATCCTGTGAGGACAGGGGGAAACACTTCTCTTCAACAAAGTAATATAACACGGAAAACAAATTTAATCAAAGTTTTGTAGCAGTGCTGTCTTGCCAGTGTTCTTACAATACTTTACTTTCTGACCTGCAGAGAAAAATCTTGTCCATTTTTACCACTATTTCACTATATCAAAAAGCACTTCCGTTATATTTGTTAGGAGACAGAATGCAGCAATCAACACTCACACAGCCAGACTGTAAACCATGACAACTGTGGCCAGGCCCCAGCCAAACAGGAGTACCACGAGGAAAAAGAAGGTGGAGGTGGTGGAGCGAAACGTCTTCAGTGCTGGTCTACAATTATTGAAGAGTGTGATCTGACAGGGACAGTGGCAATGGGGACATGAAACAGGGTTAGGGACAAATCCAAGTGGCATTGTGTGAAATGTTGGCTGTGTCAAAGCCTCATCTTCACCTTCTTGCTGTAGAAGAGGATGAAAAACTTGATGGTGTTGATGAGTGGCAGCAGAGGGCAAAAAAGAGCTCCTGTCCAAACCACAGTCTGACCATAAACCAGACCAAGCACATTGGAGGGAACCACAAACTCCTGCCGTCCCAGCCACTGAGCCAATTTATTAGACCAGTTGTCCACCAGCATCCTGACACACACAAAAACACAGTACAGGCACATGACTAAAGAGTTTACAGTCAATGCTGTTTCCATATTAATTAAAGTAGACAAATTGTTCACACAGTGATTTGATTTGTACCTGCGTGGAAACTCCACCAAGACGAGCACAGCGATGTTGATGAGGAAATCAAACAGTGTCAGCTTGTACATCTCCTGTCCTACACGCGTTTCCCAGCACTACATCATGAGACAATCATGAGAATATTTTATCTTTGTTGTTTATGACTTAATTAAACAGTAACAGATTCAAAATGGGTGTCTTGCAGAATTATGTCATATTCTTTTTTTATTCTGGTGACCCGCAGGCATTTGGCAAACTGACACTACATCAATCTCTCATTCTCTCTGCTCTTTCCTCTTGCAGATGTCTACTGTAGCCCTCAGAGATCCCACTCTACAATGTGTTAATGCAAAAACAAACAGCAAACAGGATTTTTGCTTATGTACACACAGCCATAACAAGGAAGTTAGATTAGAAAAACAAACATTTTGTCACTGCCTAACTGCAGCATTGCATATATTTGTTATCCTAAGCATTCCCTCTGTTTTTCTTAAGCTGGAACTTGTCTAACAGCTTGGCGACTCCTTCGATCCTGTTTGTGAAAAAGAAGCACCTTTAAAAATAGTTTTCATGCACTTAGTCAAATGGTATAATTACCGGGTAGACTCTATGGCTGTATTGGCACAATTCACAATCTCCACTACTTGTGTTCCCCTCGCAGGTGATCTGACTCCACAGGGTGAAGAGGATAACACCAAGACTCACCAGACGCAGGAACACTGCCCTGGACAAGGAAGAGAATTACTATCTACTATTCTGATACTAAGGTTATTTAAGGGGTTTAAAGATTAGAGATTCCTCATCTTAACTCTATGTTAAAGACTATAGTTAGGTACACTAAATGCAAATGCTCTGACATCATCATTCTCCAACAGAAACACCAGTGCAAACCTTAATAGTGCCACTATGATGGTGGTGCTGGGGGAGTATCTCTCCACTAAGGCAATCTGGTCACACAGCAGAGGCACCATGAAGTTTCCAGCGGTGATGACAATGGAGGGAAGATACTCAATAATCAACCCCAGGATCCCTTGCTCCTCGCTCATTTTCTGTTTGGAAGAGATGGGAGCCAAAAGGTCACCCAAGGCCTAAACAAGACCACATGAGCCTCACCGCTCTACTTTAACATCATTTACCTGGCTGAAGTTGGTGGCCTCAAAGATGCCGTAGAAGGCTCCTATAATGAGCCCAAATGCAACAAAACCCATAAAAATGCGTAGGGAGTATAAAACGATTTTTTGACACAAAGTAAGAGCAGCTGCCCGTTTGTTTCTGCTCTCCTCCTCCAGATCCACCTGACAGAGAGAGAGTAGAGAGGTGAGGTAAGGGGTCAATAATGATTGTGTAAAACTGCAGAGAGAAAAAAAAAATTGCCACATGTCGATCATGTTTCTCTTTTTCCTAACTGCCCTCCTTCCTGCTAAGTAGGACAAATCCCCTCTGACCTGCAGCCGGTAGTGGATGTTTTTCTGCTTCAGTCTAGTAGCTCGGTCTCCCAGGCAACCGAAGTCCCAGCCGGTGAACACTATCATGCTGTAGTTGCCCACAGCGCTGCCTCCCGTTGCCACAGCAACTCGAGCTGCAGTCCCCATGCTGTGTATGGGAGGAGGATACAGATGCAGGTCAAGGTGACAGAACTCCCAGCTCATGTTCTTTTGTTTATTTCAGTCACTGGCCTGACCCTTCTGTGAGACGGCTGAGCGCACACAAATACACACGTACACACACATATACACACATAGGCTGGATATTGATTGTTAACACTGAACCTGAAAGTGTTGTAGGACTGACCGTGCTATGATACAAATAAGACAAAAGGCAAAGTAGAAAACAGCAGTGAAGAGGTAGGCCAGGGGGATGTTGTAGGAGAAGTTCCTGTCCTCAACCATTGTGTTGTTGTAGTAGCCGTAAAACAGGTAGGAATATTCCATAAAACCCTAAACAAAGAGGAGAGGCTGGTCACTAAGCATGTCTGATGTATGTAAATGCACATGGGATGGAGTTTAAATTTACTTTAATTGGCAGAGAATATGGCAGGAGCATGTGGAAGGAAACACTCAGGTTATATCCACTGTATTTTGGGGGATGTGAAGGATTTTGTTTACAATGTTTGTTATGATGTGTAATTTTCAGTTTTGTTGGATATTGAGTGTGGAAATAGCCTGCTAGGATACTGATGACTCATTGACTTCATCCACTTTTATTTCGAAATGTAAGCTTCAGCTCAAATACGTCACATCCTGTGATGTTTATGCCCTTTTTAATTTTAAGACCATGTGTTTTTCTTTTTATTGTTTTTTTATGTGGTCATAAAAAAATGCTCACAGATGCCACATTGGATAATTAGAATAAAATTAACATGTATAATGCACTTCTCATCATCACTTCTTTGTTAAAGCACCAGTTTGATATTTTGGATTCTATTATTTACTTTCTTGCTGAGACTTAGATGTAAAGATCAATAACCACTCAAATGTCTTGTCCATTAAATATGGGGCTGGAGACATGAGATGGTGAGCTCAGCATAAAGAGTGGAAACAGCAAGGCTTGTGTTGTCTGAGTGGAAAACAATCTTGTTTGTTTAAAATGTAAAAATAACAATTTGTGGTCGATTTCTTGGATGACAGCAGTAACTTCCTGGAGTCTATGACTCATGACTTCATTATTTCTAAAATCCTGGCTACGGTTTTGTCATGAACAGTGCAAGCACAAATAAAAGGCCAAAGTTGTAAAAGAATCATAATAACACATAAGGAAAACACTAATATCTGTTTTGCTATATGTTGTGCAAGTCTCATATCTTTGCAGATTATTGCGATGCTGCAGTTTCTCACCGTTCCCGAAAGTAAGTCAAGGAAATAATTATAGAACACCTCCAAGCCTTGAGGATTAGGGTTATATTCCATACAGTCCTCTGGACCTGGAAAACACAGCAAGGAGACAGATTTATCATCTCTGCATGCATTCTCTGCCGAGTATTTCTATAGGTTTCCCTGCACCTTTCTCAATGTATAGGCCATGTACTTGTCCTATGGTTTTAAGAGTAACAGAAATAGCAGCAGAGTAAAAGCTGCAGTGGTGATTAAATGCAGGTCTGTGACTCACTTGATAGCAGAGGAAGAGGATCCTAATCCCAACACTGTCGACTAGATAAAGCTAATTTCCTCACACAGCTTTGAAAAATCACATGGTTTTGTTGCATAAAATCAGCTTCAGACTGCAATGAATAAGGCCTATTACATCTTCTATATTTTACTCATGGTGAATAATAAACTTCTTCTCTAGATATTGTTTTGTGATTAAATCTTCTGCTCATGCACCAGTGATTGTATTTCTTTTCTATTTCTGAGGGGGACACCACGGCTGGTGCCTCTGTCTCCACAAACACCCCAGCCTTGGAGGCTGTTGCCTAGAAACTGTTGCATCAAACTGTGAGGATGCTTCCTCTTCATATTAGAAGGAATGAAATGAATGAATGAAATGAAGAACCGTGAAAACACCATGCCATGTGTCACCAACAAGTTAAATCAAAATTAAATGTTGAGGATTAACAAAGTGGAGCTTGGAAAACTCATTACCGGTGCTGTTAGCGAGGTTGGAGCCCACAGATCTGAAGACAATGCTGGGGATGATGACAAACGCAGCAATCAGTAAGAAGGAAACAAAATTGAGGACCACCAGGAATCGCAGGAACAGGAAGTAAGACTGGACACCACCTCCGAAGTTTCCTGTGAGGGCAGAAGGGCCATGATTTAGTCAATATGCGAACGTGGATTTAATCCACATGTGTAAAATAAATTAAAACCTTTCTTTATGTTATGTAGAGAGTATACAATATGTGTAATCTGTAGGCTGAAAAAGCTTCTCTAATCAAGGCTCTTCATATGCATTTGAAATATTAAGTTGAATGTGTACCTCCAATCTTTTGCAAAGTCTTGTGCCATGGTGCGAAAAAATAGAGAAATCCACTGGCATTGTTTTTGAGTTTGCGCAGAGATTTGGTCTTGTTGCGTTTCCAGGACTCTGTGCTGGAAACCACCGGCACCTGCATTTGCTGCACCTGCCTGTAATGGACACATTTTTAAAAAAACATTGAATGACTCCGGTGTAACTATAGTTTGATTTAATTACTGGTAAGACTTTATTTAATGGGTCTGTAATTTCCAAATAATTTCCAAGATGTTTCCTCAAAAGACATATGCAATTTGAATCTAATTAGAGGGAAACTAAAGACAGCGCTCAGTTGGTACATTTCAGGTTAACTCATTCCAGTTATTTGCTAACTTAACCTAGAGAGACGATTGAAAATCTATGGAGACATATACATAAAATTATGTCTCCGATGACAAATAAAGAACAAATGAAGATTTACTTGGGTTTAAATAGATCTTTTTTTCAGGAACATTCCTATTTTCCCTGTAATCTGTACCCAATTACATTGTTCTCAAATCATTAGAAAATTAAAATTACCCAATTATTACCCAATTATTTTCATAGAATGAACTGCCAGTCACTAACTGTCTGTCTGCAGTTTGGTGCGGAGCAAGTGGTGCACAGTGGGTTTGTAGAGCTTTTTAATTGAAAATGTCACTATGAGGGTGGTGAGAGTGAACCAAACCAATAAGCTGAAAGTCTTTATAAATCCCAATAAAGCCGAGGGGAACTGCACATTCATGTGATGGTTCTCTGCAGGTTCATCACCCACTTTAAATTATATTTCAACGTTGGGTGTTTTTACAGTATATGTTGTAAAAACCTGTCTGTAGCGGATCTTCACCAAACATATCACTGAAACTACACCAAAACTTTTCATACCTCACAGCTCTTTTCAGAGCCATGGGCAGAGGGATGCTCCTGAGGTCCCGGGGCGATCCACTGTTGCCCTCCTCATCCTCCTCCGCGGGGGGCGAGTTCCAGGTGAACTGAGGGTAATTCTGATTGGACACTCGAGAAGAAACCCGTCGTAACCTCAGTGACTGCTGCTCGCCAGGGTAACCATTCCCTTCAAGTGGTGAGGGACAGGTAAACAGATGATCAAGCGGTGTGTATCAAGAAAGCTCACTCAGATTATAATATGATTCAATATCAACAGTAACATTATTCAGATATTCAGTCAATTCAGATGTTGTTTAAAGGTTTTAAGGGAACAAAGCAATAAGAAAGACACACCCTCAGTGTATTCATACAACTTACTTGAGCCTTGTCTCTGTGGTTCACCGGCCATTTCTCTGGTGCAGTTCAACACAACCAGTTCTTCTGTAACCACATCTAATTCTTCACCAACAACAAACTCAGAAACAAACGGTGAACCAGCTCGTCAGGAGGAAATGCAGTCTAACCAGGAATGAACTTCCCTGTTGTCTTCTCTCACGGACTTTACTCCCCTTGCAGCTGACCACACAGGTACTTCCTTATATGCTTTAACCCATTATTTCCAGGGAGATAAGACCCATTCATTTACAATGTGCGAGGTCTAGTAACAAACAGATTAAACTTAAGTAAAAACATGCTACTAAGGCTCTCAAATAAATATCTGAGTGTACTGGAAACCTGAGGAATTATTTGGTGAATTCATAGTGGGCAGTGATGGAAACAAATATCATACACCATAAAAATTAGAACAAGTTAATATTATGGATTCATCAGCCACAAATGGTTTGATTTATCAGGGATGTAGTTTACTAAATACACTGGCTCTTAGCTGAAAGAAAGCACTGAAACACTGTTGTGAGGTAACTAGGCGAAGTGTTTGTGTTCACTAAAGCTGGAGAGTTAATGATTTCCCAGTCTGGCGACTGAAGATAAATGTGATGTACAGAAACCCTTTTCTACAAGCTTTGTCTTAATGCATCACACAAGGTAATTATGAATGTTATAATGAACAAATACCTCACAGACAACCATATCAAGTAGACTTCAAGAAAGAAAAGACAAGTGAGTAACATTGGCGAGGAAATGTTGATGTGTTTGCCACATGTAACACTTACAAAGCAGGGAGTGTTACAGTTGGTGCAGTTATGTGAAGGCAAAGCCAAGTAAACAAAACAGACAAAAGGAGGAAAAATAAATAGTCCAGAGATGAGCTGAGGGACTGTAATCCACAATCATCACTGTGATGCAATAGTAAAAATAAAGGGAACCGTTTGTGCAAGGGCTGAGGGTTGGCACAGAGAGGACACAGGGTAGCAGCAATAACACAAAATCAATTCGTAATTTAAATCACCCCACAACTAAACACATTGGGGAAAAAAAGACCTTTCGATTCTGCTGTCATTCACGCTCATATAAAACAGATACAGTAGACTTATCACACAGTTGGACACATGAATTAATGAAAAGGTCCCTTGACGTGTTTTCAAACTGTACAGTTCACTCGGGTTGGAGCTGGGCGATAATTCAGTATTATCATTAATCAGTTTTTGGCGGGAGCGTATTGTGAAGATTTGATCTTATATTCTTACATGTAATACTTAACTTTGGGGCAGTTTATTGCTTTGAACATCCATTTGTTTATCTTTTATGTGATTTTGAATACATCTTTCATATTGCGACATATATCATGTACTTCTAATTAACCGAATTGACATTATTATAATGATTTCAACCGTATCGCCCGGCCCTAACTGTGCTGTTATTCATGATCTAAATCGTCAGCTTATAATTCTGATGTTAAACTTGCCATTTTTTGTATCAAATGTTTGGTCCCAACCCTGAATGGTCCATGATGGCAGTACAGACATTTTGGCAGTGAACAAACTGTTGCCATCTTTCACATGGCACAAACATGCATACATACATACATACATACATACATACATACATACAACACTGCTGTAGAGATGACAATGCATATGTTCCTGATATGATCTGAGTTCTTTACAGTTACAGGCAGAACAGCAGTAAAGGAAAAAAAAGGAGAAACATTGTGTATTCACTGGATCAAGGGAGTAAACCACATCACGCAGAAACGTCCAGCCAATAACTATAATGCTGAAAATGCTTTAAGTTATTTAAACACTAATAGAGGTGCTAATGTAATTAGGTAGCAATACAAATGTAACCGGGACCATGTTTTGCTCTAAAAACCTAAACCAGTTTAATTTCACAATGCTCGTAGTTCTGCTTTCCAATTTCAGATTGCAATTTTTGTGCATTGAACTAAAACCGAAAGTTGTTTTTGTTGAGAGGCTGTTTGTTTTAATCGAGGTGCTGATTTTAGATGCCAAATGGCAGCAAAATTAATTTGTTCATAAAATGTATAAATTAGAAAAAACTTACACTCATAACGGTATTATCACACAGGCCATGGCAGCTGAGCCTTAATGATAACACCATGATGTTTTTTCTTTCTTTACTCCAGTATAAACATGTTAGTGAGTCCTGTTGGAATGTTTTGTTATGTTATGGAAACTAATTATGAGATCACTCTGCGTGCTAAGCTGGTTATTGTTTGACTCACTCCGCTGCCTGCCTTTAAAACAGCATCCTCAACGTGTCAGTGACCTCGTTTTCACCAGTAATACAGTTCCAAAACACTTCAAACGGAGCATGGCATTTTGAAATGAAATCATACATACAGTACCGGAGGATTCCCGAGTTGCCACTCACAATACAAAAGTAACATTCGTTGAGCTCAAACATTCCTCTCCCAGTGTTCACAGCACTTTTATGTACATTTCTACACATATGAAATGTCTCCTGTGGGAAAATGTTTTAGTGGGATTCAAATGTCACACTTTAGTCTGATTTACTGTATTTTTAACAAAATTGAGTTGAACCTTTCTCATCTTTTTGGACTTGTGTGGCGTTTGTTGCTAGAAAGATGAGTTTTGGTGCAAATGATGTTGGAAATTCTAGTCTTGAAGTAACTCGTGTCCAAAAAAGCCAGTTCTTTCAGTATCTCCATTCAGTCTGTTTTTTCTCCAGTTTTCTCGGTCACGTTTTCCATCTTCTCTCCCTCTCTTCTCTCCCCTCTCCTCCCTTCCCTTTTCCCTCCCTTCAGCACCCTGCCCACTATTATACAGCAAACAGCGATGATGTGCATGGTAAAGTAGATGGACATCCAGTAGTTGATGGTGTCAGAAGCCCTCAGCAGCACGAAGCCCATGCACATGTAGTCGTAGGCCCTCATCTTCAAGAACCAGTGAACCCAGTCGAAGATGTTCTGGCCGCGAGGACCCAGTTTGGCTCGGACAGAGGCCTCCATGGCAGACTCGGCTGCGATGCACAGGGGGATGGTGAGGAAGGAGAGGTAGTAGCCAGCATGTAGTCCATGCCAGTAGGCGCTGATGAACATGGTCCAGCCAGCCCTGAGAGTTACAGACAAATAGGACAGATGTTAAAGTCAAACAGAAACATCCCTGTGAGGGTTTCTATCTTCTGTTGTTATATTTAGGCTACGTCCACGCTTTTGTTTTGCTAGGTTTACGCCTGGCGCCCACACTACTCCAGAGTTTTTGAGCACCTAAAACAGAGACTTTTGGAAACTCTGCTGGACCCGTTTTAGTTTGAAAACTCTGGGGTTGCGCTACAAGCAAAAACAGAGACATTTGAACACAGTGACGTAGACATAGACTCCTGACCTCGTTATCTTTGCTCGAAGCTGTTGTGCAGTTAAATTCTGCATTTTAACGCTACAACTGTCTTTGCTGTTCTGTATCTGTCTGTGTGCTGTTCTGTATCTGTCTGTGGAGGCAAAGCCTGATTTATCTTTGTGCCAAAAACCTCCATCGTTCTGCAAAAAACTATTAAAACACATCACTGAGGCACCCTGCGTCACTGAAGAAAATAATCTAGTCCTTTTTAAAAGTATATTATCACAACCTGTTTATAAAGATTCACATCTTCAGAATTGAGAGCCACACACAGGGTGGAGAAGTTAGAAACTACTGACAAATGAACAAAGACATTGTTGGCTTTGGTCTTTCCATAGGATTTGTTGACATGTAGAACATCATCAATATTTTACTTTATTAATTATGGCTAAGTCTTACCTGAGGGTGTAGGCTTTGAAGGGGGCGTTGGGGTAGATGTAGTGATGCAGCCACCACTGCACCGTCATGTTCCAGTAACGCATGCCGTGTCGCACCTTCACACAGAAGTCAGTGTTGTAGCAGTCAATGTTCTGGATGGTTTTGAAGTCATATTTCTCTTCAGCTGTGGGATCAGGACTGGCCACAGGGGAAAGAAATGTAAAAATAAATAAAAAAGAGAAAAGAAAAAAAACTGGCATAAATACTAACTGTCAACAACAAAAGTATAAGCTCTAAACAGACAAAGATATCAGTGAGCAACACAATTAAATTTTGCAACAATTATATTAGTTACACAGACACAAATATTGATGCATCCTCTTAATATACTGAGTACCTGTAGTTGACAGTGGGTCCTCCTCCGGGTTTGGACAGTGCCTTTTCTGGATAGCAGCCCAGGCCTGCGCTGATACAACCAGCCTCAGCTCCACACCACGCTGCATAGAAACGCATCCTGAACACGAAGAATACTGCCACCATGTAGAACAACCTGGTGATAGAGAGAGACGGAAAGGAAAAGGACATTATTCATCTTAATATTACCAAACAATGGTAGGATATTACTAAGACATTCAACCCTCCATTACAACTGGGACCTCTACAGTTTGTACTCTACATCAAGCTGCCGGAGAAATTTTTGCCTTGACAGGAATCATTTTTCACTTTCCTAAAACCACAGCTCATTTTTTTTGACAAATTGCAGCTAATATGGTGCTATATGCTTTGTTTTCATTCATTTGTCTCATTTTTTTTGACAAATTGCAGCTAGACACCTGACAAGAAACAAGTAGAAACACATTCTTTCATCAGTAGTATAGTTTAAGTTAATGGCTCCGAATACAATTTGGTACATGTGTTGAAATATTTTTAAACACCTTTAAGAAACAGTCTGACTCATATGAGACCTTACCATTCCTTTGGTTATCTCACAGTCTGAAGTCCATTCAAATTTTCTTTGTAAAAACAATTTTAGAAATGTATTTTTATAATTGTTTTAGCTGGACAAAGGTCTAAATTTATACCTTATCATATATGAGTTGCTTAGTTTATCTTTCAATGCAGTTTCTCACAATTTCTTTTAATGCTTTTATTCATCTTCAATAACATTATTAATGAAATCATACGATGATTTTATAATTAATCTACAATTCCTATAACTCACATTGTTACCATTACTAAAAGACATGATCAGTAATGCATGGCCACAGTACCTGAAGAAAAAGTTTTCATCCAGGAACTCGTCTGTGCGAACATAAGCCAGAGGGAAGAGAGAGTTGAATGCCAGGAACAGAGCACCGTAGACGGGGACCAGCTTCAAACGCTGCAGGCACGGCACCCAGCCGGGCAGGGCCAGCGGGCTTGGCTGTGTCAGCCAGTCAACAAACGTTTGGAAGCGAAAGAAGGGACCTTTACGGAAATGGAGGGATGAGATAGAGGAATAAAGGCCATGTTGAGAAGACAGTGATTGACAAAAATGGACAATCATGATAATGCAAGACACAAAAGGGAACAGTGGAGGGAAATGTGGGTCAAGAGAGGAAAGGTGTTTTTGGATCGGGGGACAGAGTAAGAAAAAAAAAGAGAGAGTAGAGGTTTGAAAACTTGAAGTAATTTAGAAATAATACTGAAAACTATATGGACTCACACAATATTGGACAAGTAGCGGAGAGTGAGACAAAGAGAGACAACAGTTAAAATTCATGCAAAAGCAAATGAACATCAGCAACAACAACTCGCACACAAACATCGTGTTTAATTTTCAAATGTTCAGTGAACATCTAAACTGAAAGAGCTCCCTCCTACCAACATTATTCAGAGAAGACATTTCCACAGACTTACCGGTCATGATACCGACATAACAGTAGCTATAGGACAGAATATCGTAGAAAGAGGGCTCCTCAGACAGACCACCGATGACTGGAGACTTGGCAAAGGAGCTCACTTCCTTTTTCTTCTCCGTGTGGAAACTGTTCACCTCGTTGGCGAGACTCACCATCTGAGTTCAAATTCAGAAAGACACATCACAAGTCAACAAAGACACACAAAGTGCTGCTTCGATGGAGCTGTCCACTGATTTCTCCACTGCACAGATTTCGTCGTGTGATCCTGGGTTTCTGTACCTTGAGAGTGAGAAGTAGCTGGACAGCATTGGCAAAAGGTGTCGGTGGTGGCAGACCGAACCAGGTGACCAGCCGGAAGAAGAGGAGGTAGACAAAGGTCCAGGTGAGACTCAGTGCTGGGGCATGCCTTGTAGACAGAGACACATGTTGCGAGTGAGTTTACATGTTACGTCTGCACAGTATCTACGGTTCAGTTTATGTTGGCTGTTCTGTTCCTTTTACATTCATGGAGCCATGTTGTGTTCAGTGAGCATTAGCTTTTGCTGTGGCAATTAGTCGGCCAAATAATTGGTCAGTCGTTAGAAAATGAAATAAAAAATACAATTATTATAAAAGATTTGAAATGTACAGAAAGACATTCACATAATTACAAAGACGGAAACACTAAAAGTTTAACTTCTCCTAAAAATTCAAGGCAAGATAAAGAGAGTTACATAAAAATAATCAGGGGCAGAAAGACTTCTACAAAATAAATAAATAATCGATAATTGTTTCATTGTTTCTATCACTTTCAAGCTAAAATGCCAAAATGAGGATTTGCTGCTTTTCTCTTGTCATATGTTATGGTAAATTGAGTATCTTCAGGTTTTGGACATCATCTGAGGCTCTGAGAAATTGTGAAGGACATTTTTTCCCATTTTTTTGACATTTCATAGACTTTATAGACTCATCAATTAATGCACTTGGACAAATAATTAGTAGATTAATCAATACTAAAAGCAGCTGCAAGTTTTCAGATCTCCTGTCCTGACTTTTGTACCAACAGTGTGCGTTTCAGACAGTGAAAAAAACATGATCTCTCACCGCCAGCTGCTCTTTATAATAATCCATGTTCCAATCACCGTCACCAGAGAGTGGAGTGTGTGTATGTGACAGGTGGCAATGGTGATAGAAAGGCCCAGAAGAAGAGCTGCCCCCTGCTTCACAGGTGGACCTGGATTGAAAGAAAAATTACACAATTAAATCGCCAACAGTCATTTACCAAGGAGCAACCGCTGGTGGGTCACAGCAGGAAAAATGTTGAACCTCTGTAAATTTGACATATCGCTGTCCTCTCCAGCAGCGATGTAAATCAACACAGATGACAGCGTTGTTAAGCGAGGTTGCGTGGAAGCCTGACGTTTAATTTGGACCAGCCATTTTTAAAACTTGGAAAAGTCATCAGCTTGTGAAAAGTAAAAAGATTTAAAGGTCTTTTTTACAGGTCTTGGGGAGTGCTACTGCACATGTGAATAAAGTTGTACAGAGATTTTTAAGTCTCCAGAGGCAGCTGTGTAAAGACTGAAAAAAACGTGTGGAATGAAACATATCTCTGGCTCTGCTGCATTAATTTTTATCATTTCAGGTGTTAAATTGTCCGTTGTGAGCCCAACAATGCGATAAGAGAGTGCCATGCTAAATCAATGGAATACATTTTTTTTTAAGATGTATGGCTCATCCTTAGTTCCAAAATGTTAAAATTAAATTGTTTGATGTTTGGTATTTTGTCCATCCTCTGTATGTGACCACAAATGGATCCTGGTTTTTGATCTTTTTTTTTTTTTTGATAACAACTGTAAATCCAAATGTATCCATTTTTAGATTATAACTATGAAGAGAAGTCTTAAAGAAGCAAATGGAAAAATAAATAATACATTTTGATTATCATTTTTGACATTCATACAAGCCTGTAACTTGGGTTTGAAACTCTAACCTGACCAATATACTCACTGAGGTAACGGAAGAGGAATCCAGCAGGGATGGAGGCAGCGAGAATTCCCAAATACACCAGCTCATCAGGAGACATTGCTCTGCTGGCACAGGAACACACATCATCTCCAAACATGCCCACATACAAAACAATGCAAATAGGATGGATGCAATGAATGCAACCCATACAGGAAATACAGTACAATCGATTGCAGCACCCTGCAACAAATGCTACCTTGGTGATGCTAATCATTTCAATTTTTATTGAGTTTTCATCACAGAATAAAATCGTTAATAGGTTTTGAGGATGTTGTTAGTGATACATCGTGTACTATAGCAAAGTGGAGGTAATACTTTTTCCCAAAAGGTTACAGGTGCATCTACAATGTGATGAGGCGGGGTTTGCAAGAATAAGCCTAAACCACATGAATGTACACACCTGACTGTCAGCTGTTGGCTGTCAGATAACTATAGAGGAGTATGAGTATGACATAAAACAAAATGGGAATAAGTTAAGTACTTCAGTGAATATACTTCCTTTCCACAACTTTTATACAGTCACCCTCCTAATATTCTCAAGATACGTTTGTCTTTACTCACTAGTTTATCTTATTTTTTCCATGTTTAATTGTAAGAAGTCTGTCCAGTAGTCGTGATAATGTTTATTCAACATAAACAGCAACAGTGTTTATCACATCTTCACGGTGTATTTCACAATATCTCCTCCGCGTGAAGCGAAAATCATCCCGGTTAAGTCGGTATCCGTGGATGTACATAAAAGAGCATTGTAACATTACTTTTGGACGGTGCTCGATTAAAAAGGTTTGTACAGAAATTAAATGCAAGGGATATATTACGTAACACGGCTTAACATGCGGGAACTCAATGCTTTGGTACGTTATGCCACAGGAAGCAACTGAGTTTGTCACAGCGACATTACAAACTCGATGTCGGTCTGTAGAAGTTACACAGTAGTAAACAGCCCTCGTTTAATTCACTCGAGGGTTTAATACAATGCGTCCATCATAGCCTGACTAAAGGATTGTGTGTACTACGTTGCTAAATAACAGATGATACCGGTCAGGATGGATGTAAAAGACGGAGGTTAAACCACGGTGTTCACTGCTATCCGTCTGTTAGCATTTGGTGTGTACACAAATCGGTTCTTCTACTTCTTCTACTTTAGTGACCAACCGATACATCTGCAAGAGTAATTTGCTAAGCTTTCGATTACTCACATTTGAAGTGTTAATCACCACGGGTTTAGGACGAAGGTCTCTGGCAGAGGGAGCACACCCACACCGCTAACACACCACCGACTGCATTTACTTCCTGGTTGATGAAAGATGACGCCAACAAGTGACGGTACCATTTCAACTACAGGGGTGTGGCCTGTACCATTCTAACATATCGGATACCATGAATAAACTACAAACACTCATAGTTTGTGCATGCATTATTTGAGTGAATCACTTTCTGTCGACCATCGGACTTTTCATGGCCTGTGTTAATGCTACAGTTTACTCAAGTTTCAACAGTTAAAAAATCATCACAACTCAGTTTTCTGGTCAGACCAAATATTTTTATTGAAAATTTTGACACAACAGGAAGTTATCACACTCCCTGGATGACATCCTTCTTAATCCTCCTCCTCGTCATCAGCTCCTCCAGCTCCACCCTGGCCCTTCTTGGCGTTCTTTCTCTTGACGCGGCCTGGGCGTCCACCACCGTATGGTGACCTCAGGGAGAAGTCGATGTGCTTCTGGCTGTCCAGGCGAACCACGAAGGAGGGAATGTTCACCACCTGCTTGCGCACACTGCCAAGATACAGACATAATGACTTTAAACAAACACGTTCAAATTCTTAAAGCAGAACATGTGAGAAAGAGTTAAGAGTTAAAAACAAATAACTGAATGACAGGGGTCAAACCAAGTTAACCAATTTAACCCAAACATATAGATGGGCTAGAGCCATCAGTTCACTGCAGGCTTCATTGACGAGGAATTCGTGACACCACAGAAAATCTGAACATGTATATCTTAAATCATCAGCCTGAGTGCACTTGGTACATAACAACGCACGAGATGCGGTGAGCACTATAATTGCCCGAGGTACAATCCCCCGTACCTTACCTGACAGCCACAACACCACAGTGGCACAGTCTGAGCCCTCGGCGGCAGGATTGGCTCTGGGCAATGTCTACTGACAAGGTATACGGTTTTGATACCGAATTGACCTTGCTGAAATGTTAAACTGATCTCAGCGGTGAGCGTTACAAGTTGGTGGTCCTCTGATGGAACAGGAAGCATTGACAGTTTCTCATAAGTCCCTCAGAAGACTTAAACCCTTTAATATTTCACATCTGTTCCCCAAGGCCTTAGAGCTTACCGAATGTGCCTCTGGCGAATAAGGACACGGGCATGGTGGATGCTCTTGGCAAGTCCAAGTTTGAAGACCTGTGTCTGCAGCCTCCTCTCCAAGAAGTCTTCAACCTTCAGACCGAGGATGTAATCGAGCTTCATCTTACCCTCGTCCAGCACACCGATCCTCACCAGACGCCTGAGCAAAGCATTACCTGGAAAACCACACAGGAGCCTTTGACTTCCAATTCCAAACATCCAAGATGCATTGTATTTATATTAACATGACAATATTGGCCTCATTGACGAGGAATTCGTGACACCACAGAGAGGTCTGACAGTTGAATATTAAATCATTGGCCAAAACACCTATTACAACAGTGAAGAGAACTCATTTGTGTACCTTCAAACAGACGTTTGGGGTCCTTCTCGTCAAGAGTAAGCAGCTCTCTGGCAGCTTTACGGATCTTGGCCAGGGTGAACTTGACCCTCCACACCTCACGCTTGTTCCTCAATCCATACTCGCCTTGAAGGGAGAACAGATTTCAAGTTCAATGTAGGGTAACCCAACAAGGTGATAAAAAGGAAACATATACATAGGTATAACTAAGTTCATTTCAAATAAAGATGTCTGATATGTTTGCTAGTTCTGGTGGTGATGAAATCTCAGCATACCAATGAGTTTCAACTCCTGGTCGAGACGGGACTTCTCGAAGGGACGGCGGGGGGTGACATATGTCTTGCGACAAACCCAACTCCTGGCAACGGGCATGGCGGCTTAGAAGTGCCTGTAACATGAGTACATCAGACATTAGGTAAATCAGTGTAATAGATACTTATTTCCAGCCAAGATGGCTGAAAGAAAAAACAATGACAAGAAAATCTACAGTGACCTGAAAAACCATCTGACATCATGACAATCGTGGGAGTGCAACAAAATTCTAATCATAACCTGAGGATATTCTCATTCAGACTGAATCAGTGCAATTAGATCAAATTTTTTAGCCTTTAATTGCAGTTGTATTGCTTTTCCAAGATGACAAACTGGTTTACATCAAAAACATTCATATTTAACTTCACAACTCTTGAGTAACTGCTGTTTAGAACAATGCTTCTGATAAGAAGCAACACAGTGCTGAACCGTTGACTTCTCTTTAAAATAACCCTTCCCTTCAGCCAACTAAACTAAGTAGCTACACATTTTAGCCTGCGGATGTGAGTATTGTTAATTAACGTCAGAACTCTACCAAGCCAGAACATGTTAATTAAATCTGCTTTAAACTTTAAGAAATCGTTTAAATATGCGTTCACAACCAGCATTTTGTCAGCCATACGACTAGGCCGCAGCTGCACCGCACCACGTTTTTCAATGTGACAAGCTATCGTTAGCTTAGCCGAGTTAGCTTCTCCCTTAAAACCCATTACAAAATGCGATGAAGGCCATTAAAAGACATATTCACTCCGTCATCTGAACGTCATGTTATTATAGTTTAGCTTCTGGACATTTAAAAGTCCAGGTTTTCTGTATATGTGTTATCAAACAGCATGAGGCGGCAGCTCGTACCTGTCTCGCTCAGGCTCGCGCAGTAAAGAGGACGTTCAAGGAAGTTCCCTCTGATTTATAGGACCGACGCACACACTACATATCCCATCATGCCCCTCTGCGCACTAACGGAAGTGGAAATTTTGGCCTTCTCGCCCTCTGTTGGTCAAACGGAACACAACAGCTGAAAACACTGGCGGTAATAGCTTGAATTCTGTGTGTGTGTGTGTGTATGTGTGTGTGTGTGTGTGTGTGTGTGTGTGTGTGTGTGTGTGTGTGTGTGTGTGTGTGTGTGTGTGTGTGTGTGTGTGTGTGTGTGTGTGTGAGTTCCTACTGCCTGTAGACAAGTGAGTATCATAAATATGATTCATATCGTCATGGACATGAAAATAATAGCAGACTCTCAGCTGTTAGACTAAATGCTAAATGTCAATTGACCTACTTTGAGTTCAGGAAACTTTGCTCTTTCTCCAAGGTGCTGTTGAATAGTCTGTGATTGTACAAAAATGTATAACAAGCTGTGAGAAATCTTGCACGACAAAGTGTGAGAGTGAGGGTGTAAAGGTGGTAAACTCAGACAGAAGGACATGGGTGACTATTTATATAACTGAAATGGGACCCTGAGCATGTGTTTCTGTCTGTCAGGCTGCATGATCAACTGATGGACACACAGAAGCTCACTTGCTTTCTCTTTCATTGCTCTATATCCTGTCTTTTACTGACAGGACACTAGTTGTTTTGCGGACTTTCTTTGTATTTTCGTGTGTGACTCACCTGCGAGGTTAAACAGAGACTTTACCTTCTTTCCCATCACCCTCTTGGATCTTCTGTTTCCTCCTGTTGGGATTTTCCTTCTTTTTTCCCGCCTGATTGCCTGCTCTCTTGTGTGCATATCACATCCATCCTTTTCCCCCCGCTCTCCTTTTCCTCTTCCTCCTATCTTCTACTGTTCCCTGTCTCCTTGTGCGTGGTTTTTGGGCTATGCTCTCCTCACCCACTGTGATTCTCCAGCCTTATGGACTGCCTGTCTACCCACAGACAACCACATGCTACCCCAGCATAGTTCAGGTAAAAACTCTCCTTCATTTGATCAGTAAACTCTTGCCTTGTCTTCACAAGCTTGCATCGTTAGAAGTTAGAAGTTCAACCTGTCAGGCACTTATGCGTTTTTACATAAGATGACTCAGGATTCAGTGTTTGGAAATAAGAGACTTTATGTTATTAAATGAATAAAAATTGAAGTAAAATCTACACTTGATTGAGTTTAGGGCTGCAACTAACAGTTATTTACATTTTTCCAATTAATCTGCAGCACCAATTAATCGGTTGGTTACTAAAATGTCAGAATATTGAGAAGAATGCCCGTCACCATTTCATAGACGCCATGTTAAAATGTCTTTTTTATCTGGACAAAAGCAGACGATCCATATACATTCAGTTTACAGCTACAAAGGATTAAGAAAATGAGCAAGTAGTCACATTTAAGAAAATGAAACCAATTTGATTTCGGTTTTTCGGATTTCATTTTTGCTTAAAAAATGACTTTTTAATCGTATATTATAACTTCATGTCAGTGCAGTCAATAAACTATCCATACAACATATCCCTAGTGAGGAGGAAAGCATTTAGAATAAGATAATGATTCAGAATAAGACAGCAAAGGGCCCTCATTTCCTTGACTCAGTGAGTCACATCTTCTATCTAATTTAATTTAGTGATGCGTTGCTTAATAATGACTTAATATCTCATGCTGAGAGGAGACTGGAGGAATGACTAATCAAAGAGGTCTGGTGGGAGCTGGTACACTGATTATGAAAGATTTTATTTATTTTTTACCAAGACCATGTGAGGGGTTATCTTTAGTCTGCTGGCCTCAATGATGCCAGCAGACTGTACAAGTGTGTGTTTGTGTGTGTGTGTGTGTGTGTGTGTGTGTGTGTGTGTGTGTGTGTGTGTGTGTGTGTGTGTGTGTGTGTGTGTGTGTGTGTGTGTGTGTAAGTGTCCCTGACATACCATTAATGCCACAATGCATCTGGTATCTCTCTACCGTGTCTCTGTGCTTCACACCGGCCGTATTTTTAGCCTTCCTCTCCTGAGCAGATAATCACGAGAGGAGATTGTGTCATCTATCTTGTTTTCTGCTGTCAACTCTCCTTAAAATAGGTGTGAATCCTGCCTCTTGTGTGCTTAGCTTTTCTTTTGTACATTCAGATATTTTCATTTAGCAGTCTGTACATTATATTCATATATAATGGCGTACTTAGGCATTTAGAAAACTTGAGAAAACAGGTGTTGACAGAAGTAGAAGAAGAAAGAAAACTGGCTCATCCCCACTGGAACAATAATAAAAGCTGTCATATTTCAGTAGAAACAGGCCTTCATCAGGGATGGCCCAGGTCCAGGAAGATTACACTGTACTGAATGTACAAAATGTTAACGACAACAATTTGATTCCTTTTCGTGAATTTTGCCGTGAGGAATGAAATATTTATCCAAAATTTGATGGCACAATAAAATTCACCAAAGTAATTAAGTTACCTTCCAGAAACCTTTTTGTACTTTCAGTGAAACGTTGTGGTTCTAGGGTTGCAGAGCTCCCTCAGTGGTTTGGTGAAAAAAGATTTGTATGATTGACGTGCACCATCTCTTCTTAGAGTTTTGGAGTATTCTGCTCGGCCAAAGTCTTTCTTGTCTCTCTTCATTACTGACTGTCTAATAAAAGCCAAAATGTCTTTTTCTAGGGAACTTGTGTAGGAGAAAGTACTGTAAAGAGGAGGGATAGACGGAAAATTTAATATTCAGTTTCATTTAATAAGCTATGTGTTGCTTGCATTTGTGACTTGGCCAGCACTAAAAGGCCACATCTGCAGTTAGTGTCGTCTGTGCGTAAATCCCGTGGCAGCTGTCCCAGCAGGCACCTGGCTCAGAGCCGTTGACCTCTGACCACAAGCTGACAGCTGAGGAGGGAGACGAGAGAAAGAGGGAACAAATGGGAATCAAAAAAAGCCTGCAAGGAAGGAAATGGGACATAGTGTCTGTACGCCTGCTGACACTGTGATACTGCAACAGCCACAGACTCTGGGGGTACAAAACAAGACAGGAGAACCGACAGTGATATCTAACAGATTGTGTTATCTTCACTACTCTGACACTTTTTTTTTTTTTTTATCCGCGACAGGGTCGAGACAGTCAGACGTTGGTTGTTTCTTCAGATAAATGAGACACAATACAGGCAAAAGTTAGTGTCAGAGACATTTTCCAGAGTGATAGTTAAGGCTGCCACTGAGACATAATGGAGTTTGAGTCACAACCTTGGAGAATCTGTTGTTATGCTGTACTCTGAATTAGAAAAAAACTACAACATTCAACCATACCGCAAACATTTGTACTGTAATCAAATATTACAACCGTGTAGTTACAGTGTAGTTAGTTCCTCATTCAGCGACACAGAGCTACACAGGCCCTAAAACACACTGGGTGCATTATATTACTAAACACTTTGAGCTGTAATTCTTATATGAAAGGTGCTATACAAATAAAGCTGCTTCTTTTTCTTCTTCTTCTTCTTCTTCTTCTTCTTCTACAACCACTTCTTCTCAGATCACTATTAGCCCTGCCCTACTGAGAACCAATACTCTGATTTAACAAACTGATGGACTGAGGAATGACAGAGTTCTGTAATCTGTTCAGTCTAAAATGTGAGACTCTTAATCTACTCTCTGATAGGGTCTGTATTGTTTCCAGCTAGAGACAACATTTATTTAGTAAATGTCACTTGGCTCAAGTGTTTTACTCACTATCAATCTCAACCACGCATCCTCCAGTTCCTCCTCTATTGTTTACCAGCATCTGCATATCTCTAATTTTTCACACCTCTGAAGTTCAACAGCTGATGGATAGATATATGAGACTTAGTTTTAAGAGTTTTAATTATAATAGATCCTTCTAAATCCTGAAGCTGGCTGACAAACTTGTGGCATTTTGCTTGTGAGGCAACAAGTAGATGTAGAGATGGAACTTCTCTAATCCTTTATGTAACTGGAAGTATTGATACTGCATCAGAAAAATAACAATAGATTGGTGAATATATTGGCATATTTGTCAGCTGATGAGTAACAAGAAATTTCGGTAAAAATTCCCAAAGATGTGTCCAGTTTCAGTCAGGCTATTACTAAGAGTAAAGTTATGGGTTCGAAATCTTACTTGAATAAAAGTAAACAAGTATTATCATTAAAATGTTCACAAAAGTAAAGGTTATGGCTTTTTTTAGTTTGAAGAGGTGAGCATATCGTTTCAATCATCTCTAAGGCGAGGTATACTTCTTTACAGGCCGAAGGAAACTTTCCTTTCATAAATCTTTTTAGATAATGTCAGAAATATATAATCTCAATGACATTAGGCGTTCTCCTCCTGGAACAATTTAACTAACAACAGCTGTATTTAATGAGGTTATTTATGTTGTACGTAACCTCTTAATCTGCAAAGTAGCAGGTACAGTCATCACATAAATTTACCAGAGCAAAAATGTTAAGTTGCACAAAATCATAAGATAAACATGATGATACACACAAGTACTATTAATTCCAAATAGAGAAGTAGTTACTGTATCTCTCAGTAAGATGATCGTGTTGTTGTACTACCATTTACTGCCACCAAAGTTTATAATTTTTTATTCATAATTCTTAAATATTTGAGCATGAAGTCACAAATATCACTGGTAAATGGATGAGCTGTCTTCTGGCAGGGTCACTGGTTATCCAATCATTCAGAACAGAACAGACACCAAACGTGAAAATGTAAGAAATTATTTTATAGATAAAGTCCTCAGTTATGTGAAAGGAAGACAAGCGTACACAACATAAGATTAATGTCATGGGAACATAGTTGCAGATGCATCAAAAGTAATAAAACCAAGTTGGCCTATCAAACGTGGTATTCTTAGAGGCAACCTTTAGCGTGATATACTGTCCTGCAACTGAAGGAGCATTTACATTTTTAAATACCTTATCTGGGGGGAAGAGCTGTCTGTATTCTAGGTTGTGTGTGTGTGTGTGTGTGTGTGTGTGTGTGTGTGTGTGTGTGTGTGTGTGTGTGTGTGTGTGTTGTTCATGAGTGTGTAAAGTGAAGGCAGGGTGGGTGGAGGGAATGAGGTGACTGACAGTTACAGATGACCACAGCTGGTGTAGCCTCCTGGTCCCTTTTGCTCTGGCAATCATTTGATTTGATTGGTGGCTGAGTAGAACTTATGGTGCGGTGGGCGGGTGGTCAGCTGGCATTAAAACATGCGGCAGTTGTTGGACAATGCATCAGAGATTGAGGAATGCAGTAAAGGGGTAAGACAATGCTTTTAGATCCTAACTGGGTAATTCACTTGTATTGAAGATGTACAGGATGGTAACCATTTAGATCTGTTGTCATGTGTATTTCTCTGCTTAATTGTCTTTCTGTTGAAGTTTGCTTTGTTTACACCGTTTTTAAACAATACTTTACTTAGTCAAAAAATAATGTGATTTGAGTGAAATGAGACTAAGTGTCTAAATCAGGGTTTCAAATCAAACCTGAACCCCTCTCATAGCTGTGATATTAGCTACTTAGATCTGGCTATTATTCTTTTCAACATTTCATATATAAAATGTCAAAATAATGCAAAATGCCTGTCACAGTTCTTTTGTTTAGCTTTCTAAAACTAGAAAAGTCAATTTACACCCATATAAAACAGAGTGAAGCCAATCTTGGAGATGAAGATGGATCCAGGGAATATTTGGCATTTTTACTTGATGCATGACAAGTTATTAATTATTAATCAGAATTGCTTCCATTTCCTGTTAATTATTTTAGCTCTTCCTGCTCTTTTAATGATATCATTCATAAGAAGCATATGGACATTTAAAGCCTGGGGTTAGTGAGCAGATGTGCTTTTTAAAGAGACACTCCAGTGATTCAACATTATATTCCCATTAAATTGGAGTACTTACAATAGACAAAAAAAGAAGTCAAACTTGAGGCAGCGGAGGCCTGAGATATTCTGACTTTTAGTTCCTAGTGCAGGTAAAGCAGCAAAAAACACTGGATCCTACAATTCCTACTGAGCAACACAACTCAGTGTTGTCTACACTGAATCTTTTAAACATCACAATCCAAGTTTGTTAAAAAAAAAAGAAAAGAAAAGTGTGTTAAGTCTGAAGCCCAGTCAGAGAAAACCGTGATGATGTTTTTTGTCTAAGACTTTAGAAAGCTTCTTCCAGACAAACAAGAGATGTTATTAACACCGGTTTTCCCTGGTTCAGTTGTAACCAACTCCCTGTGACAAGTAAACTCTGTGGTGTGGCCCTTTACTGTAACGTTGTGGTACAATTTGTTTATTGGTGATAATCTTTAAATCTTCAAACTCACAACATTTCATTATATTGTAAAAGCAGATGAGATCTAACAACAACAACACCTGGTGGTTAGTTTGTTTACACGTCTCACATCAGATATCCTCTCTGGTATCACTGGCTGATTGCTGATGCCCTCCTCCTCTCTCTCTCCCTCTCTCTTTCTCCCTCTCTCTCTCTCTCTCTCTCTCTTCTCTTCAGGGAGGCCCCACCCAGGAGGCCGGCCCTGGCAGCAGCGACCCTGCCCTGCCTCAGGTCTATGCCCCGCCTCCCTCCTACCCTCCGCCAGGTCAAGGTCCGCCAACATCTGCGGGCAGACTGCCACCTCTTGACTTTAGCTCTGCACATCCCACTTCAGAGTACCCTGAACATGCCCAGCTCAGAGTCTACCAGGGCCCTCAGCACGACGGGGGGGCGGAGACTCTGACATCCAGTACCACGGTAAGAACAGTCTGTGAACTTGTTCATGGAATTCACATCATGACAAGAACTTCATGTCCCAATAAAACATGATCTTCAGGAAGTTAATGTGACAAGAAGCCGTGCTGCAACAGGTAGTCCTTCCATATGTCCTATCAGAGGAGCGCTGGCCAGATAGAGTTTCTGTCTATATTTAGAGCCCCACCTCCACTGTTATGTCCATGTATGGGAATGCCACTCACACTCAGTACAGCAAAGTGGCGGGACAGCTGAGAGGGGATTTGTTCTTGAAAATAAATCCTCACTTTTCCCTCTCCCCTGTGTCTTATTTAGCTGGCAATAAAACAGATCACCTTTCAAGAGTATAGCTGGGAAAGTTTGTGTTGACACTGACAGTTTACAGTGGAGTTTGTAAATGCATAGCAGATAAAGTCAATAACTGTGTTGGACTAGAGCATGATGTCTGTTTTGGTACTATGTATGTTTATCACACTAAAAAAAGATTTATGAAGCCATTTTTGTCTCCAACTGTATTTAGGAAATCTGACAGTGCAGTAAGTTTATTTGCAGAGGTGGGAAGTAACAAAGTAAATTTACTCAAGTCCCGTACTGACGTATTGTACTTTAGTAAATTTTACTGGACTCCTTCCACTTTTTGCTACTAAATGCTTGAACTCCTCTACATTTCAGAGTTGTACTTTTTACTCCACTACATTTATCTGTCAGCGATAGGTACTAGTTTTCTGATTTTGCATTACAAAATATATAGTCATTTAAAAAAATAATGCTTTTTAATGGATTAACTACACAACTTGCAGTAAAATGTAGCACCACTTTGACCAACTACAACAATAGGCTTTTTACTAATTAATGCACCAATGATTGCAGGACAACAATATAGTGCTATAACAATATTTTCTAAAAGGGTTAGAGTTAAAGTTTTATTTATCCAAGATGTTCATGTCTGGAAAAATCTTGAAAAAGACAATTTCATGTGGAGATAGGTTTAAAAAAATTCTGATTACATTGGCAGATTTTTTTTCTGAGTTGAGTTCTAATAAGTCAATATAGAAAGATGTTTGAGTAGATTGAGATTTTTTTGTAGTTTATGTTATGACTTAGAGTAAACAAGTCTCCTTCAGGCATGAAAACGTCCACTCTGATAAAGACAGAGGTGTTTAGTCTGATCTGTGTGGCAGGTCGGCTCTGCGTCCTGCTGCTGCAGCACATCTCTCTTCCTCCTCTCATAAATGGTGTTTTGTGGCCCCATCTATATATTTTATTACTAGAGCCCCTGACATACTTGGGTCCGCGCTGATTTTCGGGGAAAGTTGAGACGTCGCCATGGAGGGAGGGGGTGAAAGGGGGAGGCTGACCAGATGACCCCCTTTCCCCCTCTGAAATATCACTCAGGTCCAGAAACACAAATCTGCATCGTGACATGACACCACTGCCCAACTCAACCCTCTCTCCCTGTCTCCCACTCCCCTCCACTCTAGCCTGTGTCTGTGTGGTGTGTATGTGGGTGAATGTGGGTGGTCTGCTGTCTACTGTAATTAGCCACGGCTGGCCAGTGTAGTGTAATACAGTGGCCTGTGTGCGTTTATGTGTTTGTAAAACGCTCCCCCTGTGTGAATATGTCTCTCTACCTTCTTCTGTCAATCCCCACTTATTAATTATGCCCCTTGACAAATGACCTTTAACCTTTGGCAGAAAAGCAGCACCGTGACCCCAGACTGACCCTTGTGGAACGTTCAGTTTTGATCTCTACCCCCTTTGCCCCCCCCCACCCCCACCCATCACCCTCTTCCTTTTGAAGCTTTTTGCGCACCTTCTTTGCCTTGTTTACTTTGGTTTAATTTTATGTTTCACTGCTGCACTGAGGCCTTTCCCACTGTTTATCTGCCTCTTGGTACTAGAATGCTAATACTCAATTCTTGGAACTGCAATTCTTATTTTCATTAGATTTTTAATTTTCAAATATCAGCACATTTTCCAGTAAAAATGCTTTTTAAATTCTTTTTTTCCTGCTCCCTCTCTTTCTCTCACTGCTGAAGCTCACCATACTTTTTTTTTTTTTTTTGCCTTCCTTGCAGACCTTTTCATTCTCACGTTCTTGTTTGGACTCATTCATTTGTCTTAAAAAATATTTAACTTTGTTTTTGCAATGGTTGATGATGCTGGTTGACCAACACATACATGCACATACCTGTACACACGCACACACTAGCATCGTGGTGCATTGTGGGATAGTGAATGTTTTGGTGTTGGCACATTAGTCTTTTTTCTGCATGGGGCAGTTTTATGTTTTTTATAGGTTATTAAAACTGCTTAGATAATATGAGTGCTTAAAAATTACAGTCATTCTCGTTTTTCAGGGGAACTTTAACTTTGTTTAACTCTCTTTGCCGCAGCTGCAGTGAACATACGTAGTTTTAGTGTCAGATATGTAATCTTTATTGGCAGTGTACAGTGCATTAGCCCATAGAAACTCTCCTACAGGCATGTATTTAAAGACGCCTCACTAAAATGGAGCCCTTTTCACGCCTCCTCACCTTTGCCTGAGAAGGATCACTGGTTGCTGAATGCTCTTTGAACTTTTGTTTGGATCACTTGACTTCATGAAAATGATCTTTGCCTAATGACATGTGATGCTTACGCAACTGAATCTTTACACAAGCAGTAGCTAAAACTCTGAAAGATGTTGCTAAATTTGTCAAATTGACTTTATTGTTTTTTCCCCCTTTCTTTCTTTACTTTTCTACTGATGCCCTCTCCCCATTTTTCTTCATATCCATCTCATCCCATTCACACTCTTTCCATCTTTTGTTCTCCGTCTTTCTGTTTTTGTTTGTTCTTTCATGTCCTCTTCCTTCTCGTCCATTCTTCCTCTATCCACGTGCTCGCGTCCACTCCTCCTCCTCCTCCTCTTCCTCCTCCTCCTCCTCCTCTTGTTTCATACTTGCTCACTGTCAGGAGGACGCTTTGGCTCCTGTGACCTCTGACCCCCAGTCTCTGAGTGTGTCAGCGTCATCAGGGGGTGGGGCAGGAAGTGGAAGTGAGGAGGAGGGGTCAGGTAAGGCCCAGCCAAAACGCCTCCACGTCTCAAACATCCCGTTCCGCTTCAGAGACCCAGACCTCCGCCAGATGTTTGGGGTATGAAGTTCACCCTACGTATGAACTAGAAATGATACGATTACACAGATATTGATGCAATTATTGTAAACACTGACATATAAACTATGTCTTTTGCATATACACTTAATCCTATTATTCTGACATAAATCCATCTGACACTTGCAGCAATTTGGAAAGATCCTTGATGTAGAAATTATCTTCAATGAGCGGGGGTCCAAGGTGAGTATCACAGAAACATTATCAGAGTGGAAACCAGCATGAGAAGAATCAAAAGAAATGAACAATATAACCAAACAAACTTGCAGGGCTTTGGATTCGTCACCTTCGAGAGTGCAACTGAGGCAGACCGAGCACGAGAGAAGCTGAACGGGACAATTGTGGAAGGGAGAAAGATTGAGGTGAGAATTTCCCACTATCTGTAGGTGTCCACATTAATATTCTGCATAATCATCCTTCTTCACAGCTTTCTTCCTTGTTCTTTGTCTCTCCAGGTTAATAATGCCACTGCAAGAGTAGTGACCAAGAAGCCCCAGACGCCTCTTGTGAACGGTGAAATTTCAAGTAAGAAACAACTACATTCAGAAGTGCAGATTTCACTTTTGAGGGCTGAGGGATTCTGGGAAGTTTTTTTTTAGTTTCTCATTACAACTGTTGGAAGAGAAAAAGATTCTTTTTCTCTTTTTCTCAGCAGCTTCTGGATGGAAGATCAATCCTGTCATGGGAGCAATGTACGCACCTGAGCTCTACACAGGTAAATAAGCTTCCTGTATATATTATTGTCATGAGCTCATCAGCACCATTCAATTTACCCTTTCTGATGCAATGCTTTTTTTCTTCTTCTCTGTTTCTTTAGTGGCCAGTTTCCCATACCCTGTAGCGACTCCCACCTTGGCCTACCGGGGCTCTGCTCTGCGCGGTCGAGGTCGAGCCGTCTACAACACGATTCGCTCGGCTGCTGCCACACCGGCTGCTGTGCCCGCCTACCCCGGGTGAGAGTCAGCGTCCATGTACTAGTGTCTGGTCAGCATTTATTTCATTCACTGCAAAACATTTGAATATGATTTTTACTCATGTTTTTCAGGGTTGTGTATCAGGATGGCCTGTACGGAGCAGAGGTCTATGTAAGTATCTGCACTCTTCTCACAGTGTTTTTCGAAACCTGCTGTTGCTGTATTCATCTTACTTTATTTTTTCCATTCAGGGTGGCTATCCAGCAGCTTATAGAGTGGCTCAATCAGCATCTGCTGCCACAGCGACCTACAGTGATGGGTAGGTAATCATTAATGTATTCCTCTCAGAGATGTTTTTAACATTATCAATCAGCTTTTACTTCAGGTGAGACGATTTCTGAAGACAGAGGGAGCTCGAGCAATAAATTCCCCAGTTGATATTAGCTATTGCAGATATATCATGTCAGCCAATAAGAAACAAGACGCCAAAATATGCTTGAGGTATTACACACCAGAGAGCACTGAAAAGTTCTGTCATTACAAACTCTAGTCACAAATCTTCAAAAAACTATTTTGAAACAAAACTTTTATTCATGTTATGTCTTCATTAAATAATAAAAGTGACATATTACCAGATGACTCTCAAATATAGTCCAGCTGTATTTTTTTCACATTTTCACAGATGTTATTTGACGTTTTTTTTCACATGTCAAAACTACATTTTTCCTGTAAACAGAGACATTTCACAAGTGGTTTGTTACATTTCAAATGCTCTTATGAAAAATGCACATGCTTTGAATTCATGTTCTCTTGCATGATTTTCTTTTTTATAAGAGAGACTTAGGCAATTGCTGTGTACTGCTGTAAAGGTACTGTTTGTTGTTTGCTTAGAGAAGATACTGGCGTGTGTATAAAGCCTTCGCACTTCCTCAAGCAGGTTTCTCACTTGCAACATTTACGAACACATCTTTACCACATGTGACGACAACTCTAAACCATGTTTACCACGAGTGCAGGCAGTACACAGCCACAGCTGCAGACCCCTGAAAACAGTGTAAAAAGACGTGTAATGCTTTATTCTTTAGCCTCCAGTTGGTAAAATTAAGAAAACATTCTTATTTTTTCCAGTGAGTAAGTAAATTCAATTTGTAGATTAGAGAAGACTATGACAGAATTGTAGACTGATTTTGGTGGCTGTTCCCTCTGGGATTAGGGTTGTGCCGGTGGAATTTGGACCCATGATCCCTGCCTCTGTAATATCCTGGCTGTGGCCTTGGTGCTAACGTGACACGTTGTCTGACATTCACATCTGCCTCTGACGTTTTTGTCCAGATACGGACGGGTTTACGCCACAGCTGCAGACCCCTATCACCACTCAGTTGGACCAACAACGACATATGGAGTTGGTACAATGGTGAGTTCAGTCAAAACATACACAGCCACTGTTGAAAACCATGTTGTTGTTACATGTGCGCTGACAGCTGCTGTCGTTCGTCTGCCACCAGGCCAGTTTGTACAGAGGGGGATACAACCGCTTCACCCCATACTGAGTCACCCAGCAAGGGGTGGAGGGGAAAGTGTCTCTCTGGAACTCTGGGATTGGCTGATCCATGGACGCTGCAGGACAGGTTATGAGATCCTTAAACTCTGGAAAAATGATTTTACCTCCTGTCTCCATCACAACCTCTCCTCGAGAGACTAAACAGACTGAAGCTGTAAATACTGTAGGACCCATTTGCTGTCCATTCTACAGAAGAATACGTATGTAATATATTCAGACAGTTGCTTAAAGCCTTTTGTGGATTCTTGTTTTCTGAATTTAAAGAGTATTAATGTGGGCTAACAGTACAGAAGGGGTAGCTGGTGAAAAATACTGTGAGAAAGTTTTTTTTTGTGATTCATATCTGGGATTTTTCAAGTTTTCACGGGTCAAACTGTACAAAAAAAGAACGTTTTGTACAATGTTCAATGACTTATTTTCAGTGACAATTATTTACTAAACCTGTGTTTGAGTGTGTTGGCGTGTGTGTGTGTGTGTGTGTGTGTGTGTGTGGGTGTGTGTGTGCGCGTGTGTGAGCATATGAGTGAGGTAATGCATCAATATTGTACCCAGAGACAGCTGTGACACTGGTATCATCATTACAAACACAGGGCTAATGTTTGTCTGGATGTAGTTGGAATTTCATTTGTTTTTGTTTTTTTGTTTTTTGTTTTTGCCAGTTCTAACAATCTACCTCTCATACATTTTTAGCTTTTCATACAGCTGTCATTATTGATCCTGTGTTGTTTTCTGTATTTTTTAAGTCTGCTGAGCTTTCTCTTCCTGTCCATAAATCCTAACTAACACTGACTAGTTTCTGTTTCTGTGGCTCTGTACCTCACTACCCGATGAGCCTGACGCCTATATCCAGTGCTCTCTGTTATTTTTATTTTTCTGTGAAAGAGTTCTTCTGCTCATACTCACACGGGGGGGGGGGGGGATTTCACTGAGCTGCTTTAAACCCTGTTTTATTCACATAGGTAAGCACAGTTAAGACGCAGTCTTTTGCTGCTGGCTTTACTACACAAACTGAGGATTACAGGCCTTGCTTAAACGCCCCCCCCCCCCCAATAGAATTTAAATGATCCTGCTGTCAGTGCAAGATAACAGCTCACTGTGCAAGAATCCAATGATCTTATTCTATTCTATTCTTCATCTAAAGTTGCTTTATTTCACCCTTTACTGTCACATTTCCTGTATTCTCTCTCCTCACTCGGAGCTCCTGAATGACTTCTTGACATGTGTTGATCATTTCTTCTTGGCCTTGTCTTTGTTTCTGTTACACCCCTTTTGCTGCTGAGCTTGACGTTTACCTCTGAATAAAACTGTTTTCTCTCTCTTCCTCTCCTCTGTCCTTTATTGGCTCTACTCATTTTCCAATCTGTCTTTTTTTGTCATTTCTCATCATTCACTGTGGGAATTGGGATTAACAGCTCATGAAATTAGAGTAAGTTTTTATTGAGATTTGTAAAATGTCATCCCATCACTGAAAAACCATCTTTCCTTCTATTTCTTACTTTACTTTATGTCCTACTTGTTCTTCTCTTCCAATTTCAATGTGGTTGCCTACCTCGTTGCCTTACTTCCTCCTTTTTTCCCTCTAGCTTTTTTCTTCTGTCTTTCTCTGCTTCACTGTAGAAAACACATAAACAGCATGTATGTGAAATCTAGCTCAGTCCGTCTTCTTCTATGTATTTGCTCTTCTTTGTGAATTTTTACTCAAATTCACTCACTTCTATCTTTAGTAGTTATAGTTGTACCTGCTTATCATAGATTTCAATCTTTTTAACTGTTCCTTAAACATCTTTCCTCTATGACTAACTGTAATCTTTGCTTATGTCTTTCTCTCTTTTTGCATGATGCTTAATCTCCTTTCATTTCCTCTCTTCTGCTCCTGTATATAATGTAGGTCTAGCTTCATTTTCTTGACATTGAATTAGCTTTTTTTCTTTGCCTGATAGTTTCTGCACTTAGTTTCCTCTGTGTGTGACAATACTAAGCTCGTTTAAACGCTTCTAACTAAAAAGACTTTTAACTCTTTTCCTGCTGTTTCCTTCACTTTACTTTCTCTTTAAACTAAACTGCATCAGCTCAACCCTGTTCTTTCCTCTTTTCCTGATTGCATGTAGCTTCACATTTTGCTATTTCTTCTATATTCTTTTCTGCTGATTTCTTCCTTTCCTCTAATTTTAGCTTTTCTAAATGTTTTTCCTTCTAACATTAAACACTAACTTTTCCAACTACTCCATTCAATGACTTTGAAGCCGTCTTTTACCTCATAGCTGTAACTGGAAATTAGGCAGGAAATATCTTCATTGTGACAAGTAACTAAGCTGATCTCTTATTTCTAGTCTTATGGTGTCACAGGTGCCTCTCACTCCACATTTGACATTTCACAATAAACTGTCTTTGCAAAACTTGACTCCTAAGTTGTGTGGCCTATTTTTTCACTTGCTCAAATTCTTCTATTTTATATCCATTGAACTTTAAACCTGTGAATCATATGATTTAAAAACCAACCACACTATGTGCCGTTTGTACTTATTTTATTAGATTTTTTTCAAAAGATAATATGTACACAATATTTACAAAATGGCAGTTTTCATATCAGATCTGTAGAGGCATGGGGAAATGAGGGACAGGGAGAAGGCATTTTAGATATACCTTCAGCTTCAGTTGTTAGTGAGCTGCAACATAAACTATTAAAGCATTGCAGAAGCAATACAATACTTACTAGTGAGAGTGACTAGTTGCACACGGCAAACGGTCACAAACATACTCAACATTAAAGGAAAAGATAAGAATGAAAAGAGAACAAATACTGGTTAGAGATTTGTAGGAGAGAGCAGGAGAGGGAAGAAGACAGCATGCAGGGAGTGGGAATAAGAGAAAGCGAGAACAGAGACAAGATAAACTGAAATGAAAACGAGTTAAAGGGTAAATGGTGGGAAATGATGGGAGTTCTTCCAGTGTCAATTATCAAGGAAGGAGTTACAAAGACTGATGAGATATACAGTAACATGGGAGCAAACAATACTGAAAATATGACTCAGGCATTGGAGGGGGGGAGAAAAAAAAAAAAAAAAAAAAAAAAAAAAAACACATCCGAAATGAACATGTGTATTGTTAGTTAGTCTGGGGTGAATTTTCTAATAAAAAAAGAAAAAAAAGAATAAAGCTAACATCCTGGTCTGTTTCAACCTGAGACATCAGATGTACGCACTTGAACCCTGGGTAAAGTTTACATTTACACGAGCTTAAGGCAACAAACTATAATCACAGTCAGCAAGCTCATCACGTGAAGAACCCAAGAGGAAATTCTTAGCATGGGAGCACACACCAGCCATGTCAACTTTGCCAATATACTAAGAAAAGATTTTTTTTTTTTTTTTTTTTTTTTTTTTTTTTTTTTAAATGGAGGTGAATTTCAGCACATTCTGTATGTCCAGAGACATTTTAGATAATGAGCAATAAAACTCTCAAAAGAAGGCTTAAATATACAACTGAGTCAGGCAGGTCTGTCTTATTGACCAAAAACTAGCCAAATGATTCCTAAGTACAAACGAATTGGGTGGAAAAAAACAAACAAAAGAATTACACATTTTTACCAGCAAACTGACTCAAAAATGCAAATACATCTGGACAAACAGAAAAGAACAGCACACTGCAAGTTTCTCAATCCTCAAACATTGTTTAAAACTAAAACAGGTATCATGTTGCACAGAGACATTTTTAAATATTTGGGTTAGCAGCAAATCACATTAGCAGCAGATCAACATTTTCCACATTTCATTATGTGAGGCTCCCATGTATTTTATCAGCTGTATGGCTTCAACTTGAGTGGGTCAAACCAAGACTTGGATTGCTCACAATTCACTCTCTCCGGCTGGCGTCTGGAGGAGGTTCGCCCACTTATCATCGCTCCATGTGCTCCTGCAATGCAGCAGTGCTACGAGCTGAAGAATGAGAAGTCTGGTGGTGTGTGAGAGAAAGGTTTAGGGAGTGAGGGGAGGGAAGAGCAAAGAGGACAGGGGATCAGGTAGATGAAGGGGGAAGAAAGAAAACATGTTGAGATCATTGACATTACAAAATATTTGCTGAAATAATGGTTAACAGTTGAACAGTTTGAGAAACAAAGTGATGATCCAGGTTTAAACAAGCATTTTTGTCAACTTGATGGAAATTTCTTTCTTTGCTGCAAAACAGGCAAATGACAAAATGTGGTCATGTTTTGTTTTTGCCTGAAGGAAAAAAACCACGTTTCATATCAGTGGGATTTGAGAATAACATCTTGCCAAAATTTGGTCAGAGAGTTTGTAATTATGTTAACAGGAAACCCTACCACCAGCAATTATAAACTCCTACACTATATCAACTGTTATGACGATGAAGACATTGCACACAATCCAATCCAGATCTGTCTGCACGTAAGTTTACATATTCACATAAATGGTCTGAGTTTTGTGAAACCCAGAAAAAAACAAAAAACTATTCACACTTACCCATGTGTGAAAATAAACAAAACCTATGTACCAACTGAAAAGAAATCACAGCAATATTATACAGTATTTACAAAAAATAAACTTTGTAGACAAGTAAACATGTAGATTGTACAGCAAGCCTGCATCCACTCACGCTCTGGTCAGTTACACCAAAGTTGTAAATACCTCAGGCTCAGTATTTCTACAGTGGCAAATAATACTGTTAAAATTAAAAAAAAAAAAAAACTCAAAATTATGTGGAACAATGTCGATCTGCGTTGTAAGTTTCAGCACAATCTTTCAATGAGGACCCAAATTGTAGGATACGATAGTAAGCAAAACAAGAAGTCTATGAAATGTTTATGTTTACCCTGTTGGTGAGGGTTCAATTTCCTAACGTTTACAAGCTGTCTAATTGTTAATTTCCTAATCATCACCTAAGACAGTGCGCACCACCACCAATATTATTGTAGGTCCTGAAAAGCACAAACCTGCAGGAAAATGGCCAAATCACATCAGAGAGGACTAAGTCTGCTACAATTCCACTGCCACATAGAAAAACTATTCTGTATATCAGAGACTACAATTACTGTATTTATTTTAGAAAATAATTTCATATCTACTGGAAAATGGACATAAAAGCACAAAGCTGCACTCCACTTGTATCTCCCTCTTTATTAAATTACTGTCTACAGTTTCAAACTCATCTGTTTTGATTTAAATACTTCATCATGACGTTCAAACAGCAGTGAACATCTGTGCAGTAACATTTCTAGGATCTTACTGACTCTGCCTATTAGCATTTTGTCAAATTTATGATACTTGATTTGTCCAATATCAACCTGTAAATTTTCATGAAACTGACTGCAGCTCCATAATTCTTTTTCCTTTTTTTTTTCCAGGAGAAAGGCCAATACTGCTGTCCATAAAAGGCAAGACATAAAACATTTAACACAGGAGAGACATGAGGCAACATGTCTGTTGTGCCGTCATCCACCTCCTTCCAGAGAAGTCCCTTTCTCTTACCAGCCTTGCACACACCAGAGCCAGATTGCAGCATACAAACCACTCATTTGAGAATAAGCAGCATGTTTCCCTCGATGCTCCGCCCAGAAAAACCTTCAGCTGTACTTGTAGATTCCAGCTCAGATGCCCGATTCTCTTGAATAACAGCTCAAGGAGTTAAGGTCATCACTACTGCATTTTGCTGTGTTGACCACGGTGTGCTGGATTCTAGGTGCTGGCGGGAACTTCTACCTGAGGATGATGGAGATTTCCTCTCCGTCTGTGGCTGCTTTAATTCTGATGACGGAGCTCAGCTTCCAGGACACGGAGGAGTGAGGATAACCTTGATGAACACTTGCCTGTATCCTTTATCATACACAAAGTCAATGGTCATGAGATTGAGACTTCTTTCCAATGTTGGCCAGCCATTTCATAACTGAGACCAACAGATGAATACTACTTAATTAAATCAGGAACAAGACTTTCGACTTAGGTCCATTGCTTTCACGGGCCATATGGTTGGGGACAAGGGACAGGATGAACAACCAGCTGTAGATACATTGAGGAAATGGGATGCAGGGCAGGACATACAAACCACCATCTCTTCTTTCAGACAAACTGCTGGCATCTTCTCACCGCATCGTCTCACAGTCTTTAAGAGGAAATGCAAAGTTGACCTGCTTCCATAGGCTTGACTTCAAACAGCAGAGAGCTGGATATGTGACTTGAAGAAGAGCTGTTTGTCTTTCCCCTTTGATTGACAGGGCTTGAATCTTCAGGTCTTGGAGCTGTTGACTTGAGGAAGGAAAAAACATAACAGAACACTGTTAGCTTTGACATCTGACGGTGGTAAAGGAACAGGAACCATGGGGGGGGGGTGCCTCCCTGATCTGGTTCTGTGACTTCTTGGCCTCTAAGCACCGAGACTATATGATCATCCCAAATCTAAACTGTTCACTCACTTTTCTGGCATCATATTTGTTGAGATAACTTGGGCCTTAGACTAATTCATAATAATTGTGTGACAGTGTGTGCAGACATTCTCCCTCATGTTTAAAAACAGTTCTTATCTGAGTATCAGATAATTACATCTCATTCTGAAATCTAGGTCTTGCAGCAGAGTATGTTAACATGCATCTTTCTCTATGGGTCTTATATAGGTGTTAGTTTGCCACTACTCTTTCTGAACTGGCTGAAGTGTCTGAAGTGCAGTGCATTGAATATGTAAGGATCAATGAGGGTCCCTTAGTGTCTCCCTTTACTGTGGTACCCCCACCCCCTCAGGAGGCAGCCAAAGCGGCTGTGCTGGTTTTGCAGTCTATCTTTTTGGGGTCAGATGGGGTGAAAGTGACACCTAGCCCAGTAAGAAATGTCATACAGGAGTCTAAACAAGGGAAGCCCAGAGTGGACTGCACATACTGCACCGGCAAGTCAGGCCTGAACCTGCAGACAGAGGAAACAGAAATATGGGTCATAGATAAGTTATGAGAAACCTAAAATTTTCAAAATACATCTTTCTGGAATGTGACTTACGTTTTGACTATGGCCCGAAGTGCAATCTTTCTTTCCCTCTCTACAAACTTGTCAATGAGGTATGAAGCCATGCGTGGGGCTTCCAGGTAGAGCTTAAAGAAACGGCGAAAGTTTCCTAATGCCCAGGCAGCACGGAGTGCAAGAGCATGAGCCACACAATCATCTGCCCGCAGGGCCGGGGTCAAGTACACCAACTCAGTGGTCAGATCTAGAGGAGAAGATGAATGACCAAGGTTAAAATGTGATAGGAAAATGTACAAAGGGTGAAAACACATATGTGATGTGTAATAGTGACTCAAAAGACCAATGTGGGCATACCTCCAGAGTTTTTAGTGAAGATGTAATACAGCAACCTATATGCTGTAAACTCTCCAATGTTCTCTGAGGGGTTGTCCTTATACAGGGCCTTCAGCTGGGTCTGGCACTGATTGAACTCTTCATGGTCTCCCTACAGACAATAAATATTCAGGTAATATTACATGTACTGTTGTCACTTTTAGCTAATGCAACTTTACTGAAAATAAACACTCACCTTTTCGAGAGCAATGCGTGCATGACACTCGTACACTTCCACTGTGAAGTCGGTTCGAACTCCTTGGACCTGGATAGTGACAGATAAAGGGAAAAAGAAAACACAAGTAAATAAATGAAAAAGAAAAAGTTACCCATATGGAACTTGGAACTTTGTAAAAAAAGACAAAGACAGAAGGATAAATGAAACCTATATAAAGACAACCAACCGTGAGGTCTTGTCGTATGGACTTCATCTGTTCGCAGGCATAGGCATAGTCCTGGTTGTTTTTCCAGTGGGCTTTCACAGACTGTAGAGATTTTCTTAGCACCTAGGTGGAAAAATTTGTGTGGTCTGTGATGAAAGAGGCTAGAATGTACACACATAGTATAGAGGTTTCATCCACTTTCACTTCCCTTGATTTTCTTCTTCTTTGTAAGTATGGAAAATCTGGCTTATTTTAACCATGCAAAAGTACAGTAAGAATACATTGACATGGCTGACAGAAGAGAACAACTTACATGCACAGGGCGCACAGTGGAGGGGTCAGGGGCGCAGGTGAGCCTAAGGTAGGACTTGGTGATGTCCTGACATGTTCCCACAATAGGGCAGTCCTCCCAGCTCAGGCCCTCTTGTGTTCCATCGGGCAGGTCCAGGGCATTGATGGAGAGAACCAGGGGCTCTGAACGCAGCTGCTTGTGGAAACGAGCTGCTCTGCTCTGCTTCTTGGCTTCTCTGTTGGGGTCATGGAAATCCAGACCAGCACTCCCGCCTTTCCTCTTCTTTCCAACACTGGACTCTTCCATGTTTCTGGGAGAAAAGAGAGAAGGTTATTCACAAGCTGTTCCTATGGCATAGGGTAGTGCAAACAAAAAGCAGAACGGTGATGAATGAGAAAAATAAGGGCCTGATAAGATGATACATCATGATTTTTGTAACAATAAATTCAACAATTTACCGTCTTCCTCTGTTTGCTTTTCCTCCTCTTCCTCGTCCTCTCTCGCCACCTCCTCGTCCTCTATCCCTGTCATTACCACGACCACGTGCTCCTTTCTGATTTCGCCTTGACAGCTGAGGTCGGAGGTCACTGGAGATGCTGCTGTCTGACTGTGAGCCAGAATCACTAGAAGCACAGAGGCGCAAGACATTTAGAGAGGAATTACCCCGGGCGCCTGCAGTCACCAAAGAAAAGTGGAGCAAACAGTGTCTTACCTTCGCCTGTGCCTTTGATTGCTGCGGTCCCTGTGTCTGCCATGAGAGGGAGATGGGGAGCGAGAGGAGGAACGGGATGAACTAGAGGATGGACTCCTTTGAGAAAATATATTCCTGTAGTGGCCCAATCTGTGTCCACCACCCCTGCCTCTTGAAGCTGCAGCCACAGTACTTCCACCACGGCTAATTGAGTTATCTGATGTCCTCTGGGGTGGTACAGCTTCCCAGCGAGACTGCTTGACCTTTAATCTACACACACACAAAAAAAAAACCTCAATGTGTGTTGAACCTGCCAGCAACACTAACATGCCAAAATATGCTCAGAGCAAAGAAATGCATCAGCCAAGTTTGTTGCATTTTGAACTTATTGGAAAGAAACCCAGAATTCACATCTGTAATAGTAAACTAAAACTCACTCTGGCAGTGGCTCACGAGTCCAGTCAATAGTATAAGCAGAGCCATCTTTCAACCGGTCCTGCAGGACTTCCTTCAGCACTTTCTCTGTGCGATCTTTGTCTTCCTCTGTCTCACAGGCTGTAAAACAGCGCTGCACGTATTCCTTCATGGCTTGGGGCCAGTCCTGGGGTCTGGATTGAAAGCATTTAAAGTAAATATATTATTCACAACTAAAAAAAGAATGAGCGGAGATGGACCAGTTCTCACCGTGTCTGAGCACCTCCAGGTGCAGCACTGGCAGTAGCTGGGGAAGAGGGTGCTGGATTCAATCCTGAAGGCTGCTCACCTGGAGGGAAAGCTTGATTGGAAACTGGAGAACACTGAACCTGATAGGGCCTCTTAGAAATGTTGAACTTCACAGAAGCTGTACCAGGTGCCTCTGTGAGAACAAAAAAAAGGAAAAAAACTAAGAAATAAAAACTAACAGAACATTTTGTATGACTAAAACCGACACCTGGACTAAATCCCACAAAATGCAGCTTTCTGACTTCTGTCCATAGTCTTCTTCTTAAACTTGGAGTGACATTATTGGTCTAATATAGTTTTTCAACATGTCTGAAACTAGCATGTAATTACTGCACTCAAATACTAAGTTTGATACAGTAATAGAAATAGTGTATGAGCAGCCTCAGAATAATAACACCTACATTAAACTCTGTAATAATTCAGTTGAGAAAACATACAGCTATATCACAAAAGAGTAAACCTTACGTTTCATGCGGTGCCAAAGTTGTTGTCCTTGTTTTTGGTTTTTGTTTTTGTTGGCCTCTCCTCTGCCTAACCCTGGTACATACTGGCTCTGCTGCTGGGAGGTATTCTGAGAGGGCTGGTAGGTGTTCTGGGCCTGGAAGCCCTGGCCATAATTAGGCCTTCCCTGGGAATGATTGTAGACTTGCATTTGGTTGGGGTCACCAGGTGGGTATGGCATGGAGTTGTTGGCACTGTAAGCATTTTGTGATGGAGGAGGGGGGTACTGGGAGTTGGGTGGGGGAGGAATAGGTGGGAAGAGAGGTGTTCTGGGCCTGGAAGCCCTGGCCATAATTAGGCCTTCCCTGGGAATGATTGTAGACTTGCATTTGGTTGGGGTCACCAGGTGGGTATGGCATGGAGTTGTTGGCACTGTAAGCATTTTGTGATGGAGGAGGGGGGTACTGGGAGTTGGGTGGGGGAGGAATAGGTGGGGGTGGGGGAGGAGGGGGTTTCTCTGAAGTGGTTGGGCTCTGGGGTGGCTGGGGAGTAGCGGGGGGAGGAGGTTGTGGTTGAGAGGGGTAGCTGGGGGATTGGTCTTCCATGCCCGGCACTGGAGGAGGCTATAATAAGAAAGAGGAAAAAAAGGCTATTTTAGCTAAACAGCAAAATCTTTTACAAGAAAAGAACTGTACCAGAAGCTACAGAAATAGCTGGGGAATAAAGTCACTATGCATTACATCAAACACAAATGTTCTGTCATACTATTACAAAATGAGAAAATCTAAGGGCCACTGACTAAACCTCATAAATTAGATCCATGGTTATATCTGTAACGTAATTACAGGGCCTACAAATAATTACAATTTTTTGATATTTTGCTTTACTCAGCAAAATCTTGTTATATACTGTACCTGGCCATTGGAGGGTGGAGTTCCTGGGTAAGGCCCTGGGGGTACACCATACTGATTTGGTGGATATGCAGCTCCATACTGGGAATTCAGAAAAAAGCCATGTTGCCATTTTTGTCACATCTAATTCACTATTTGTACCCAAGTGTACATATAGAACCATAACCCTATCCCTCAGCAACAGATGTTATTTTCGGAGACACAGACATACAAGCTAACAGTGTTGAATGCAGTACAAGCCCAGCAGTTGTATTAAAAGTTATTAAGGTAGCATGTTTATAATGACAAAATTCCTTCCACTACTTACTGGACCCATGGGGTAGTAATAGTTATAGGGGTATGTGTATCCAGGATAGTGCTGCTGGGTTTGCTGGTACCACGGATAGTACTGTTGCTGTTGCTGCTGCTGTTGTTGCTGTTGTTGCTGCTGCTGTTGCTGCTGCATCGCGGCAGAGTCAGTCACTGCTGGCTGGAACTGACCGGCCTGGAATGACACACATGTACAAATAACCTTGGTCTTACAATCAAGAACAAAGAGGAAATTCTATAAGCAGAGACAGAAATGACAATTCAGCAAGAACATAAAAATACACATTTGTGAATCTAATACCAAACCAATACTTCATAACATACTAAATAAATCATGTTTCCCCCAACATAAACGTCCATCTGCAAATGCCCAATTTGCCATTTTTTAAGCTTATTAATTCTCAATTTAGCCATACACTTTCTGAAAAAATGGTTGCTGTACAATTACTGCATAGATGTTAGAAACAAAGCAAGTAGTAATCTGTGGGCATCTACTGTTGTCGTGACTGGTAATTGTAAATTAATCTGCACTCTTGATTAATTTGACAGCAGTGAAAGTACAGTATATATACACACCTCTACTCATCAGGAAACACTATGCATTCACTGTAAATAAGCAGGCCACCTTCAAAAGTGGTTGATCAGATTTATTCTTATGTTTATATTTTATTCAGTGTTTGTAATTTTACATCTCATGTTGTGATCACATCAAGGGATTTCAATGCTGGATGTAACATAAAGAGAGAGACACACAAAGAGATAAAAACACACCTCTGCTGTGGTCCGGCTGGCTTGTGTAGTTTTAGCAGAACTCTGACTCTTGCTAATGGATGCTAGTGCTTGTCTTGCCTTCTCCCATTCTGGGTTTTCATGAACCTGGCCATCTCCAGCGGTACTATAGGACCTGTCATCAACACAACAACATTAGTCAAGGGTGTTTTCAGAATCCAAACACTCAGTTGTCAGTTTATTAGCAACAACAAACCAAAACTAATACAGCCTAATACAGAAGTCCTGTAATTAATCCTACATTCATGAAGGTTTCAGTGTTCACTCGTTATGAAACTGCTAAATTTGTTTTGACTGAACTGCACGATTATTCTGGAGGATTTGTGGTGCTGTGCTAGACTGCGTTATGTGACAAGGTTTTTGTTCTGTTCTGTTGTGAGGGTAGACTTAACAGCAGACGCACCCCGCTGAATAATGCAATATAGTTCAATTGTACCACAGACCAACGGTTGATTCCAAACCCGGCTTAAATGGTTCCATTAACGTTTATCATGTGTCAGACAGGCACACATATTTAGGACAGACTACGTATTAAACGCTGTATGTTTAAACGGTTACAATATGTTCACTACTGTCTATCTGGCAGCATCGTATATATATCCGCTTATTATCCCGATTGAGGCAAAACAGCTATCAAAATCAACGTTACACTGTAGACGCGAAGCTTGTCCCGTTATTTCAGTTCAGTTAAATATACATACGTTAGTGTCAGCTGCACAGTCTATGGTCTGCTGATGATAACTTCGTAACAAAGTTAACCGTACCGGTTAACGTTCGTCAAAGATAACGAAATACAACTTTGTTACGAACTAAAAAGTATTGCCGTTAAGCAGATAACGGGTGAGCTTTCTGTTAACCAGGTCAACGGCCTGTGTGTAGCTAGTTGTGCTAAGATTTGAAAACACCCTGAGCTTAGCTAATTATCATTTATTCAAGCTTATAGCTGGTAGCCATTGCTACCACACCACATAGTAGCGTTATAGTATTGATTTATGACTTTCATCTCATTCGTCACGTGTTATGAGTCTTATTTTGGCTAGAAAATGCGACATACCAGTTAGTTGCTGGGGTTGCTTGTGTCGTATTGGCCGCCATTTCGCCACAGATTTGAGTTAGCTTTTTAAGCTAACGCTAGGACTGTGCAGGCTAGCGAGGGAGTGGGCTAACGCCGTTAGCGTTAGCTCTCCTGCTAGAGCCAAAGGTAAACAAGATGAAGTCCTACACGATGTCAACCGTCTGATTACTACAAAAGCAGTCAGACGACCTTGAATAACGCCACCTATCTTAACAAAACAAACGACAATACACTTAATTAAAGTTAGAAATTAAAAATAACATGAACATTGGCATATTTGCTTCCTTCTGCGTTAGGGATTGACTTCGTCTGACCAGACAGTGCAGATACAAAATGGCAGATAAGTTAAACTGGCCAAGTCAAGTGACGTCCTGTCGTTTTGTTGATTGGTGTTTTGTTGCCCGGTGTTTTACTGCCCAAAGCGCGTCCTCTCAGGCAGAATTTACGCAAGCCTTTTGTCCCGCCCCCTCCAAGCTCCACCAATCTAATGTCTAACTTTAAATTCAGGCCACACTCGTATTCAGCTATTAGCCTGTCAATCAGGACTGATAGGGAGGGATTGTGATGCCTGCGAGGCTAAACACAGGGCAAAAAAACTCCCAATAATCACACACTTTCCTCATGTTAGTGAAAAAGAAAATAAACTTGACTACACTCTTTTACCAATATATCTACATATCACCAAATATCTGTTTAATCCCAATTTATGATATTCATCTCAACATCAACTCATGTTGTTTGTTCATGTGTTGTGTTGTGCTATCATTTTACACTATCTGTTTTTACCCCCCACCACCACCACCCCAAGAATCATAGATTGTATGCATAGTCTCTCGTTAGAGTATCTTACATACATTTTCCCTCTACCTTCCTGTGAAGCACAAACAGCTGCAGGATGTGTGTTTTTGTCACAGGGTGTGTGCAAGTGTGTTACACAGAAGGGAGTCATTTCCTGTCAGTCTCTCCCACACTTGATCCCCTAAATTATTTGGAGGTCTCTTTGGAGTGACCCTTTGTGGAGTGCAAATGATATTTGCAACTACTGTAAGGTTCATGAATGTGTAGCTAAATTGCTGCACAGCAATGAAAAGCAGTGATCACAATGCCTTTTGAAGGACACGTTCCTTTGTGGTACATTCTGGTACCAAATTAAACAAAACATTCAGATGTTTTTTTTTTTTCATTGTGTTTTATATATTGCTTCGTAATACTTACATACTGTTGTAAAGTCCATAATCTTGAAGGGAGGACTCAATGTCTTGCTCTTAAACACACATAAAAAAATTTAAATATCTCACTTTTGTGGGCAAAATCCTGTTGGATTTCAGGAGCACAGCTTTCAAATAAATAAAATACTGTATTAACTGTAATTTCCAGTCCATTTCTCACAGTGAATGAAATCATGTGCCAGCTGAATGAATAATTTGTTCCCATTGTTGTCCTGTCGGTTACATCATTGCACAAATATGTTGAGCATTTGTGACAAGATCTCGCAAACAATGACTCACAGCCCGGCACTATTGTATGAATACCTGGGCTTTTGCAAAGCTTCTGTTTCTTTAACCCATGGGAGGAAGCTTGATAATATGTACTCCTAAAAGCCATCTCCAATCCACTGCTCTTGTTGAGACCAATTTCTCCAGTCTTTTTCAAGAGGATTATCGACTATTACAGCTATGTGACTCAATATGCACCAGACTGAAACCCTTCAAAAATATGCTTTGTCAGATAATACTGCAATATGAGGGCTGACTTCACTGACTGCATCCAATAAAAGAAAGCATAATTGCAGTCCATATTAAGTTAAACCCTTCATAATAATTTCAGAGTAAAATGAAATTTGTCTCATATGCTGGCGTCGCATTAAACTTAACCACAGCCTGAAAAAAATCTTTAATATAGCCTATGAGTTCCTCCCACTGAAGCTACCACAGAAGTCGGGGTTCAGTATTTTTAATCTTTTTTAGGAATGTGGGGATTTCAGCAAGTTTGTGGGAGTTAAAATTGACATATATTTTAGACTGATTCCAGTATTTCCAATCTCACATATGGAGTTTTGAAACAACATTTGACATTCAAGTTGATAAATAAAACTTTATTTTACAAATTAGTAATTTCCATGGTAGTTTCCTGGAAAGAACTGTATAATAGTACTAAACAATAGTACTAAATAATAGTACTAAATACAAATAGAAAATAAGAGAATAATTCAATTTAGTCTTGGTTTATATATTGTCTGTATTTTTCATATTTTCAACAAATCCCATAAAAAGACCAATACTAACAATCGATTCATCCAGACTAACAGAAAATTTTTAAAGAGAAAGAAACACATTAGTGAGTCATAACATGTTCCTTCATTATAGCTTTGAGTCAGTACTAAATAGCTCTCCTGCTGCCATAAATACTCACTAGCACACAAAATGTGAAATTGTCCTCATCTGACAATAGTCCCCAACTAATGCACTATTAACTCCTGGTTGCTAAAAACAGTGTAAGAAAATTATTTGGGCTTTTTTAAAAATTTAAATCTATATTCATTTTAAAGATTTACATCTTCAGAGGGAACTAATGTGCTTGGGGCTGGGATTTCTTCAGAGTAATAAAAATATGGAATATCTCTGGCCTTATGCTTTATATAGAACTTGAAAAAAAAACATAAAATATGAAAAACTGAAATAAGTATAAGACTTTACAAAAATACTTTTTGGTACTGACAGGACTTAATATCTTAATAACTTAACTTAATAACTTAATATCGCAGCACAGTACTAAATCCCGACCATTCAAGTTCATATAAAAATAGGTTTTCTGTTACAATTTGATACTTTTAAGTAGATATTTACACACAAAACCCTCATTGACTTCAACTTCCAGTCATCTACATTGTCCTGTTACTTAATCAGTAAGCTATGGCCCACAATTATAAAAAAAAAACTTTGAAAAAAAATACTCTGTGGAAAGTTGACTGCTGGTCTGGTTCATATTTTTACAATGTCTGGTAAAGTCGAGAGCACTTTGATCCAGCTCTCCCTAATAACTGTCGCGTCACTTCCTCACCCCGTGCCCATCCCTTTGGAAGAAAAAGAAAATTCACACAGACAAACGACGGCGAGAAAAAGAGCGAGGGAAAAGTCGAGAGGGACGCGCGAGCAGAAAGCCAGATGAAAAAGTGGGATACTGTGGAGGTAGCCAACCAAAGACCAGAATATACGCTTTAAAGTAAGTTTTCCATACTTTCACTTGTTTTGGTGACGCTCACTCAGGTCAATCGATTAGCTGAGTTTTACATTGATCAAAACGATCCTCTCACTGCTTTGTCAATAAATGTTGCCCTCGTTCGCTCGTCATATAAATTATGAGTCATACATTTAACTAATATCATATATCATTTACTTTAATCACCATTGGAAAGTCTTGTGGGTTGGGGCTAGGCCTGTTAGCCCCCCCTCCCTCCCTTTCCCAAATCTAGCTCTCTCACATACACACATGTACAAACTTTGAGAATAATGTCTTGAATGTATATACTGGCTTTCAACGTATGAGGCTGATAATGAAAAGAAAATGTTATTAAAGTGACTCAATCTCTAAGACATTATGAAATATATGTGGTAATATTGGCTTCCACCTACTGTAATAATTATTAGTTCAAAACGTTGCACTGACCTCAACAGGAATAGTTTTGTCATGCTGACATCTGAATTTAATGCCCATCAAAGTAACACAACCCAGGAGTTTTGGGACTTTAGATTTAGTTTTTATGTTTGGAACATCACAGTCTTGTTTTTGTCCACAAACACCCCTGAGGGTAGAGAAAAGTATGTGCTAGCGTTGCATGTGTGTGCTTCAAGTACAAGTCTCAGCATGGCCTTCACAGCCACCGGTGCCAAAATGCTCATTGGCTTCCTGCAATATTGCACAACACAGTGAAGTTTTTACTCTGCTCTGTCTTATCAGCAGGTTGGACCAGAGCTCCAGCATTCACTTGCTTTTTGCGCATTTTTATACGTTATCTAATTTTCTCGGAGTGCTACTTCCTTAACTGACTCTGTCCTATCTTGAATAGATGATGACTATTTTGTCCTTCTTCTTTCCCCCCATCCTCAATCTTCTTGCAGTTATGCCACTTCACAAATCATCCCGGGCCCCTCGCCTGGACCCTACCATGATCTCAGCGCCACTGGGTGACTTTCGCCACACAATGCACATTGGAAGGGGAGGTGATGCCTTCGGGGATACCTCCTTCCTGTCCACTCTCGGCCCGAGTCCAGCCAGCCCTGACCTGGGGAGTCCAGGGATCATGCCAGCTGCTGATCCTGAGGTGGCAATCAACCACAGTGATCTTCATACAGATGCTCCAGGAAGCCCACAGGACAATGAGCTTCAGCACTCTGAGTCAGTGTCTTCATTCACCCTGGACCTGGACTTGGATCTGGGGCCGTCTATGCTGGGAGATGTATTAGGAGTGATGGATGGACTGGGGCTTGAGTCCAATGAGGGATATGCATTCAGTCCCAAAAGTGGCACATCCTCGGTGGAAACAAAGCAGGGAAAAGGGGCCATGGAGATGTCTGTGAACATGCAGAATGAGCTGAACGGGAAAAACTTGTTAGGGTTGGATGGAAACCAGGTGGGAGACAGCAGGATACCAGATGGGAACGGGATCAAGCCAAAGGGGTTAAAACCAAAAGTGAGATTCAGTGACAAACGAGACGAGATCATTCGCCGGGCATCTGAAGAGGAAGAAAGTCAAGGGTTTGACTTCCAGGATGAGAATCAGCTGGTGTGTCAAAGTCCAACGAGTGGTAAGAGTGAGAGGGGCGAGAGCCGAGAAGGTGAAATTGAGTTCACCAATCACAAAGTAGATTTGCCACCTAGTCCTGCCTCATCACACAGCTCAGAGTATGAAGGAGTCACCCCATTGGACAGAAGGAGGGTCGACAGCTGTCACTCAGAGACTGATTCGGAGGAGGAGGAGGAGGAGGGGGAAGTAGGAAGAGGCTACACATTTGAAGATGAGTTTGATGATGAAATTGGTCTATAGGGGACAGGTATGTTTTCCCCATGAAAAAAGATTTTTGCTGTTGAGTAAATCAAGGATACTGTATTTTCCTTAACTCATCATTTCAGTATCATTTGAATGGGAGGCTGAAACAGAATATATATGAATGCAAACTGGATTTTTCAACTCAGAGATATACAGCTAAGACGATGTTGCTCAACGGGAAAAGACATTGTATGTTTTATCTACAAGGGTAACAGATTTGCCAAAGAATTTTGACCAGAAAAAGCAAAAATGTAATTTAGGTTATTACAGTGAAACGTTTGTAGCACTTTGATTTTTTTTCATTCACCTGGAAGCTTTGCTATGAAACTAAGGCTCAGTGGAAAGTTTGATTCAGGCTAAATGAATGATGCTTGCATTGTTAAGTTTTAACCATGTCTTATATTTGCCATCAGTTCAGTAAACACAACAGGTGTTGTATTTACTGAACTTTACCTTATTGTGCCTTAAAGGGAGCTGTACTTACATTATTGTACCCTGTGTTATACCAGTGTCTTATTAGTTTTTTCTCGTATTGCATGTTTTGAAAAGCTTTACATACAAAGGGTCCAGAGAGACATTGTCAGAAAATAAAGTTATTATGAAATACTGTGAATTTGTCACATTCCTAATCTGACACTGTTTCTCTGGTTCAGACCGAATCAGAGCTGTTCTCAGAATGCAGTTATATTGTATGTTTTCATACCTACCAAAGTTTCTTGGGGCTGTGGGGCTGGACTGACACTAAAATGCTACGGACCAGCGGTGTATTTTTGTACATGCTTTTTGCTTGTATAATGCTTGTGTTTTTGTTGGTTTTATGTCATAATGCTGTAAAAGGGAGAGATCATAATGCTCATCTGTTGAAAATGCTGGTTTAAACACGTTAACCTGTGGTTTCAAAAGGATTACAGTGAAAACAATAAAACTATTATTGGGAATTTAAAATAATCACCAGCCTTGGCTATGACTCATCTTTGAAATGATTGCAAGGCAAATCTGGAGCGAAAAGGAAAAGTGTTTTCTATTCAGTTTGAATCTGAAGATCCCAAGACCTCGGCTGTGTCCACAATCACTCCACGTTTATTATAGTGCTCTGTATTAACTGCCATTTTATTGAAGTGTCCAAATTCTGACTGACATTTACACTCTACAGTACCCTAGAATATTCCTGCAATCTGACAAAAAAAGAGTAATATCAATTGCATTTCCACTACTTTATGCCAACGGTATCAGGTAAATCTGTTTTATTTTATAGATGTAAAAATTATAGTGGTGCAGCATCGTACCTGCCACTGATAATGCAAAATGAGAACCAAAATCTCAATTTACTGCTTCCTATAAAGATAACTGAGTGTCTGTTATATAGGGAGTAGCAGATTTTTATTTGCAGCCACTTCTTGACATGAAGTAACTGTGCTTCATTAGAAGTAAAATACAAAGAGAGCAGCTTACCCTCTGTCTTTGAAAACCTTCATTCAGGTACAAACGAGAACTATGGTTTTAAACATTTTATTTTAAGCATGCACTAGGGAATGCCTAAAAAAGTCAACACATCTGTAAAACATACAGACTGAAAGTCCGGTGGTAAAGATTATAACACCATATGGCGCCTACACTGGGAAATAAATGTCAAAAAGAAAATGATTACCTGAACACCAAATTATGTACATTATTACAAGGTCCTTACAAAAGAAACATATTTGGATTTACTGCTCATTACACACATTAAATGTGTACTACTCATGTAAATGCAAAATCATCTGTTTCTCTCTAAAACACACACACACACGCACGCACGCACGCACACACACACGCACACTACACAGATATTGTCCTGAACACGTTGAATCCTGAGAGAGCCGTGGAGATCATCACACCAGGTATCTGTGGGTGCCAGTGAATCTCCTTGATCTCTGACTGACCCTGGTGCAGGAACAGTAGCTGAGGGGGTAAGTCTTTCACCCCCTCCACCCTGGCACCCACGTCACATGACTCCACAGACAGATCCCACTGGCTGACGACATCATCTGCTCCCGAGGCAGCGAATACACTCGAGTCGGCGGGGCTCCACTCCACCGAGGTGATGGGGGCGCTGTGCTGCTTGAAGTTCGCCACGGGCCGCCCAGTCTACAGGTAGAGGTGGAACAAGAGCAGTGAGGTATGACAGCTGTTCATTACAAACAACATCAGGCTAGAATAAATGAACACTGCTTTAAAAATCTGTGTTTTTACTGCTTTGTTTTTCCTAAATTTCAGCCAGACACTGCCAAGCTCTAGCTCGTTTTCTCTCTTGACAAGAGAGAGTACTTCCCAAAATCTCAAACAATTCCTTTAAAAAGGCAAAATAAAAATGATTTCCTGCATTACAAGGGAGGCAACAACTGCAATAATTACACAGTGTTGTGTCACAATAATAATTAGTTGGGTGGGGCAGACAAACTGCAAAGGTGTGAGGTTATTTACTGTAATAGCACAAGCCCTTAAGACTGTTTTCTCTACCAAACAGTAACATCGTCACTCTGTGTCAAACATCAAACAAGTGACAACTCATAGCTATATAACTGTCAGCTAAATGATCTTGCATGAGTTGAATGATTACATTATTAATGAATGATTTTAGATAAATTGCTGTTGGTTTTTACCTTAAACTGTCTCAGATCCCACACTTTCAGAAGACCATCGTCCCCTCCTGACAGCAGGAATGGTTCGCTCCTGTTCCAGCTGATCACGTTGATGTCTGATGAGTGAGCTTCATTGGCTGAGAGCATTGAATTGGGCGGTGCACGGATGTCCCAGATACGAATAGACTGATCCACCGAACAAGATGCAAAAACCTGGGGTGAAGGAGAGAGAACACATTCTGAGATCTGAACTTTAGATTAAAGATTAACAAAGCAAAAGACTGACTGGTTCAAACTGCTCTTCGCAAATAAGGAGCTTTACTGTATTTCTTCCTTGTTAAGGAGGAGCTTGTATGTTAAGAGTGCCAACACCAATTAGGTTGCACAGTGTCCAAAGAGCCCCACTCAAGCAACAAGACCAGTGCAGTAAAGTAAAAGCCAAAAAAGTCAGACTGTAGGGTGAACATTCACATACCACAAACTAGTTGAGTGACTAACTTTAAGTATAGCATCTAAGACAACACAAACAACATATTTTAGCCAGAGTTTTAGTCACAACATTGTGCTGACACGCAGCAACAGTTGGTGTTTTTAAAGACAACACAGTTAATTCCAATCACTCAGTTCTCTCACCACACCTCATTCTTCCACAGAAACATCTGGAAAGCACTGTTGAACTGATAAAGTTCAGTGTGACATTAATAATCCCTGTGGAGAAATTCCTCTGCATTTGAATGGTCCTAACTGTTTGGATCAGTGGGGTTACTCCAGCTCTGAGGCCGGCACTGTGGTCAAGGGGGCAATGAGCACAGATAACATGCATGTTAGAACGGTTTCAGTCAGTCCTAGTGAGGGTTGAGTCTTGCAGTGCGGCTAAAGTGCTAACCACTGTCACCATCTACGCTAGTCTCACCCACTACATCACCATTATTCTACAAACGTACTGTAGCTTCAGTCGGGGACCACTGCACATCCTCCACAGACTTGCTGTGGGAGCTGAAAGGTCGCTGGTCAATCTGCCAAGAAGTCCCTCCCTCCCGTGGCTCCCACACATGGATGTTCTTTTTGCAGTCTCCACTGACAAGACGACCTGTTAATAAAAGACAGGCACAACAGTTAACCCTTTGGTGGAACACACACACACCTATGCTTTTACACATTTCTATCTATATGTTCAAGATTAATTCTGATAAAGTTTAGATTCAAATATCTGACTCCACATCTGTTTTAGCCGTTCATGCATGCCCCCCCCAATTTTATTGTTCTGTCCTAACACCTACTGCACACTCAGCTATTTTGATGAGGTCCCCTCTCTGAAGTGCCGCACACAACTTGTTTCAGTTTTATTCTTTGTGGCTGTGCACAATTTAACCTCTATAACTACAATGTGTGCATATGCGTATTGCCAACCATTTTGCAACACACACTATAAAGTTTTTTTTCCCCCTTTTCTCTAAAAAGGAGGTCATGTTTTCTGTCTGTTTCAAATTTAGCAGGATATCCCAGGCTTCAATCAAACCTGGTAGAAAGTTAAGCCAAGTAAATGATTTGAAGTGGATCTGGATCCAAGTGTCTGATGATATTTCCAAAATTGCCTGCACATAAGAATTTAGTTTTTAAGCTATTTTGCTGGAAAACAACAAGCAAACATCAGGTTGTGGAAAGGACAAAATGATTTGTTTGTTTCTGACCTTAAAAAGCTGCAGTTTGGAAATTTACACAGTAATCTCCGATGTTGAGGTGACAGAGGGAGAGACAGTTAAGAGTGTGTGAGAAAATTATACCTTACATTTAGTACAGACTGTTCTCATCATGTTACTCACACATTACAAAGCAGACTATGTGCAGCTGGGGGCATATTTACAATTACAGTACTCAACATATTGTGGTCACCTAAGGTTAGCTCAATGCCAAGTGTCAAAAAGGTCAGAAAGTATGTGAGTGTGTTTTTTTTTGTCTGTAAATTACATTGCAGGGTAAAGACTCACTCACCAGGTACTGTAGGTGACCAATCAATAGCAAAGCCTTCAGTCATGTGTCCTGAGAAACTGAAGAGAGCTGTGGCTTCCTTCTGCTGTTTGACGAAAGCTGCCATAGCAGCAGAACTGTGGACGGCCTCCAGCTGAGGTCGGAGGTCAAATATTTCTACCTGTCCCTTCTCTGACCAGACAGCAGCCAATGACTGCTCCCCGCGCTGCGTCACCTGGAAATGAAGGAGCAAAATCAGTACTTGGGAAACAGGAAAATAAAGTCTGAAGACCAAATGGTTTCATTTATATAAATGTCAACATACTCTGACTCTGTTAATCCCTCCGTAGTGAGGCATCATGGCCAGTTCCATCTGTGGCTTCTTGTCTTCATCCTCCTCCTCGTCATCACTTTCGTCATCACTGCTTTCTTCCCCCTCCTTTACCTTCTCCGTTCCGTGAAGGTTGTACATGCGCATGACGAGAAGTCTGCAAAGGAAGTAAACAGCTGCATTGAAGTGGATGTAGATAAATAATCCATCACTCTCATTTAATTATTTTTGAGTTGTATTGTTTATATGCATTAAATAACTACTTGACTACTATGACTACTTAAGAGATAAGTCTCCAACACCATCTGTTATCCGTATTCAAGTGTGGAGTTTTGGTATCAAACTAAATGATATAAACAACTTTTTTGTAGCAACCCCTAATTGGTCCTTTAAGTTTCCACTGAAAGGAAAACTCTGTGGAGCAGACTACTGTGGATGATGTCAAAACATAACTGAAAGTGGTCACAGACACAAAGAATTCCATGAGAGTTTAATAAGCCTTGATGCCAGGATATTGTCACTGATAATATCTTGCTAAAGCAACACTGTGGTGAATATCACACTGTGAAAACACTCTAGCAAATAACAAGTGAAAGTTCAGTGTTGAAAATGAAATACAAGTCGGGGCAACGAGTGGCGCAGTGGGTTGAGCAGGCGCCCCATATGTAGAGGCTGCAGTCCTAGCTGCAGTCGGCCCCGGTCCGAATCCTGAATCGGACGGCCCTTTACTGCATGTTATTCCCCCTCTCTCTGCCTCCCCATTTACTGTCTCTCTCTACTATCCTGTCCAATAAAGGCACAAAAAGAAAATGAAATACAAGTATGCAAGTATAATTTGGAAAATGCACTTTAAGTATCAAAACTAAAAGTAGTCAATGCAATAAAATGTCCCTTATTACGATCATATTATATCATTAGATTATTAGTACTTATGCATTAATGTAAAAGCTGGATTTTTCTGTTGTAGTTGGTTGATGTAACTATTGCACAGATGTAACTATGCAGCTAATTTTCATTGTGGATTCATTATTTCAGATGCACTACTGTGAAGTGTCAGGTAGTTTGATGGATAACAAAACATCATATTGTTAATCCAAGTTATTTTTAAGTTTTATGGAAACATGATCATTTGTAAAGTTTTTAAAGCTGTCAAATAAATGTAGAGGATTAAAAGGTAGAACATTTCCCCCTGAGATGTGCAGTACAAGTAGAACGTGGCATTAAACGAAAATAGTCAAGTAGAGAGCAGTACTTGAACAATGTCAATCACTACACTGTATTTATAAACTCAGTGGTGCTTTGATCTCAGTTTGATTACTGTCAGGTGAGAGCAGCCATAGCCGTGAACATGTTTATGAAGTCTATGTTGTCTGGAGGTCTGTACCGACCTGTTACTCAGGGCTGTGTCCGCCTGTGTGCCCGCACAGAGCAGCATGGACAGAGGGAACTGCTCCCTGCTTTCCCCATCGGCATCTCTCAGGACGTCGAAGCTCAGACACGGAGCACCTGAACACAAACAACAAAAACACAAAGCTCAATTCAACCTGTGGGTTTGTGCACGATGACAGCGCTGACAAACGGCTAACTTTAGCATAACTCTTGCCTGTTTGACACTCGTGGTACATGCGGTACGCAGACCGGTCCATCTCCAGCTCCTCTCCGGGCCTAAGCGGCTCGATCCCGGGCACGTACACTTTCCTCTCCCCCTCTCCGCCCGCTCCTTCGTCCTCCATCTCTACCCCTTCATCATCATCGCTGCCAGCTTCGTCCATCTCCTCCAGCTCGCCTCCTTCCTCGGCAAACGTGTCTTCATCAGGCGCAGACATCTTGGCAGAGGCGGCAGAGTCCGCGTATTTCCGGTGTGGAGAGCGGCCACGTGGTTTAAACACCCAGTACTTTCCCTCCTCCCATGCTGCCTCACCCTCTCTGTCTCCCCCCTCTCTCCCTCTCTCCCTCTCTCTCTTCCCCCATTTACGGGAATTCAGCTGGCCCCTTTGGCGCTTGTCTCTCTGCTGCCAGGAAAGATCAGACTTGCAAATATTTGCCTCGGAAGTTTCCAAAACTGCTATAGCTAAATATTCATTTTACGTCGACCCTATATTAGTGGAGTTAAGGGGATATTCAGTTTCGTAGCCCCCACCCCTCTGGAGAATAGCATGCTCATGACATTAGATTAATCATTTCCACATTTGGGGTCTTAGTAATGTACTGACCCGACACAGGATCTCGCACATCCTCTGAGTAAGTCGTGAGTGCTGCATGAAAGTAAATGTGACACCTGCGGAAGCACGGACTGGTACTGACGCCGGGGCCAGTAGCCCCTGCACCACTAATGGGAAACATGGATTTGTCAGCAGTCTCACAGCTAGACGTCTCAGTATTTGCCAATATTGCCTTAACAGTTACGGAGTAATGAACATTGTCCGCAAAAAAAAAAAAAAAAAAAGGTGCTCCCTACAGCCCAGAGACATACAGCACTCGAGCCTTCTGCTTCATTTCTGTCTTCCTGATTTGTCAAAAACTTTGTCATCCAGCTCTATGATTATCTCACTCTTTGCATGTTGCATTCATGCAGCATTACGTCTGTCCCTTCCAAATTATGTGGAAAAAAGGGTCAGTGAAAACTCGAGGTGCAAGCCAAAAATCTGTTCCCGTATGCAACATACCTCTATTTTAAGGATTATGAAACTACAAGGAGGCTCCGGTGAGGACAATGGCGCACTTAATATGTGTGGGTGTATACAAGCAGGGGCAAGTGTGAGCACCAAATGGTGAACTTTTCTTTCTCGTGTGGATCCTGACAGGAGTCAGGACACAACATCTCCGCAGCCAGGGCCCCATCCAGAGCACATTCCTCTCTCATCTGCAACTCCTCTCAGTTTTTTTTTTTATCAGAGTTACAAAATAGCTGTAAAGGATTTCTACATAGGAAATGACTCTTTAAAAGAGCCAGTGAAGCTCACATGAATGTAGCCTCCAACATAAACTCTGTCCTGTAGTTTGAATGTGAGACCATGAACAAAATATAATCTCTCTTAGCTAAATGGACCAAAGTGTAAATATCTCTCATTCTTACTGACAAACAGTAGTGGAGGAAATACTCAGATATAAGTCATAAATTACATTTAAGTAAAAGTATGTAAGTATTTTTAGTTCAATGTAGTAGCAGTAGTATCAAAAGTAAAATGCTCCCTGTGGTTGTTATAGTTATATTAATAGGTTAGTATTGTTAATGTATTTATGTGTAAGGTGGAGCTGATTTTAATGACTTAATAAACTGTTGGATAGTTTGATTTATAACAACAAATCACATTTTATAAACTGATCACATGTTTAACAGGTAAAATGTCAATGTGCAAAGTAACCAGTAATTATAGCTGTTAGATAAATGTAGTGCAGTCAAAAAAACAATATTTCCCTCTGAACAGTAGTTAAGTAGAAGCAGAAAGTAACATTAAATAGAAATACTGAAGTAAAGTACAAGTACCTTAAAAGTGTCTTTAAGTACAATATTTGAGTTAATAGACCTAGTTACTTTTTATCACTGCTGACAGGAAACAGGAAACAGCACAATAAATATACTGTAGCTCACAAATGTTGGGATATTATATCCTGGAAAGTTAAACCAAAAACTAGCAATGCATATATCTAAATGTCTTTAATTTACATTTATGTACAAAAGTAAACACCCATAATATCTTACATTTACATAATATTCATTGTAAACAGTGATGAAATCCACATCAATAGACGAGACTTATGTGCATTGGCTTGCTCAGCATTTATCTCTTGTTAGCATGAAGAGCATAGCTAGCTGGAGTTTGTGGCCTGCTCTAGAGAGGATGGCTATATGTTTATATCTGTGATATCAGTTGTTACAGAGTACAGTTGGACAGTCAACTTAGCTATTCAAACTAACTTTGGACATTAAATGCAACCTGTGCATGTCACTTCATATTAACAAAGCTTACTGCATTAAACACATAAACAAATATAAGAAACAATCATTCAGTGCCAGGAAATGTCTTGCATTTTGTGTGCATCATCTGAAAGATCTTTTTTAGTGACTATGGCAGCAGCCACCAGTAGAGTCTGAGTAGCAAGGGGCTCCACATTGAATATGATAAGGAGTGAGGACCACCGCTGGACGGCAGCTGTGTAATGTCTATCATCTTGTCAGGCTGTCCTTCTTCCACACTGCTGATAGCTCGGGTGGTCAAGAGTCTGGCCCTTGATGGGCTGTAGTCCTTCCTCTCAACAGAGGGGGGCAAAGTGGGCAGGGTGCAAGTTTCGATCGATGGTAAGCATACAACATCGAGCCACTTAGCGAAAAGTTCTGATGTTAGCTTGAGGAGTTCTTCAGGAGAGGAAGATAATGTGGAGTACTGGGACAGGTCCGTCTCCTCCTCGAACCGCTGTGAGAGACAAAGAAGCAAGGACCAAGTAAATATTTGCAATAGAAAGTTAAAAAAAAACATTCACAGAATCTTCAAGGAGAACAACTCTTACGTGTCCTTTTACTCAAATTCATGTTTAAAGCAAAAATTATAACATTGATAATAGCAATCACATGTCAAATAACCAGCGATGGTTCTGGCCTTTTTTGCATTTAGGGATGTTTTCGCTTTCTTTCATAGAGTAAAAGAAGGTTTTCTGATAAGACATAGGTGAAAGAAAACCCTACCTCTGTGTTTATGTTCTTTTTAATAATTCTATCCAGTGTCTGCTTCAGGTCGAGAATTAAGGAGTGATTTAAGTGCTCATCCCAGAGGTTTCTGAGAAGCACGTGCCAGGAGTCCAGGAGGACTACTGCAGCAGGGAACACACAACACTGCAGGGAGAGGTACAACACAACAACCGCAAAGTTAGATTCAGCATGCAAAACATATGTGACAAATTACCAAGAGCCACATCAATTGCTCAATTATAAGTCAGACTCAAGTCTTCATTAAAGAACAGTGTTTTGCTAAACGTACAGCTAACACTTAGGTAAAAGCTAATGATTATCTTGTTAAATAAGTCGAAATGTTTTTCAGTAGACATGTTGTTATCAGATGTTGATAACACCTGGAAGACTTTAAGATTTATGATGCATGTATTGCACATCAAACCACACTTTCCATTTTTTATCTGATGAGTAACTCACCGGATCAGAGTCGCACAGCATGTTTTTTGTGTAGTGGTGTACTACATAGTAATCTTTCGGAAATACTGTCCGCTGGAAGGAAATAGAAAGGAAAGAGAAAGGATGAGAATAAACCCAGAGATAAAGAAATAAGATAATATATGTAATGTGATAATTACTGCACTGAACTTTAACAATGACTGAGTTGAAAAGAACAACTAAATTAACCACAGAGACCTTATAGAGCTATACAGTTGTAACAGTGTTTGTCATCTGATAACAAGCTGGAGGTGTTTATTTTGACTCATTTGAGTGAGATCTTCACCTTTGACCACCTTGTTAACAGTCAACTAACTGAACACAGTCAATACGAGCCACTGTATATTTTAGATAGAAAAAGTAGAAAATATCATCCCTACAGAGAAGATGCATTTCACTGCAGAAACACAAAAAGCATGACATGAAATCACGAGCAAAAGTTTTAACTTACAAATCCAGTCGGATTAGAGTCAATTGTCGTTTTAATGTTTTTCACACCTTCCTTGTCAAATTGACATCCACCACATTGGACAGTCAAGAGTGATAGCAACAGCAGCACTGTTTGAGACATGAGTAAGGCGGAAAGAGACAGAACACATTCATATAATTGCTGGAAACTTTCTGTGGTTTTGTAGCGTGTTCAAATGCCATACCTAGAGAAACATGACATCATTTCCTTTGTCAATTAGCTATTTTTGCAACAACCAAAAAACAACATGAAACAGAGGCTATCATTGCAACAGCTCTAATTGAATTAAGACACAGGAAATGCTAGTGTAACAACACAGTGACTCAACAGATCAGTTTTAATTCACGTTAAACTTATTTACCCACAGACTCTTGGAAGAACGTTTGCAAAAAGCATAATCATACCCTTAATTCTTGTTTCTCACCTGACAGTGACATCCTTTCATCTGAATGGACACTTCTCCATGTCTCTTCTTGACGGCAATCACTCTGCACACGGGTTTCTGTGTCAGTCTGTGGAAGGCAAAGTTTCCTCTTCTGTGGTTTTTAGAGGTCTTTGACACAGTGTACGCTGCTGTGCCTTCTCCTTCACAGCTTGATATTTAGTCTTCTTGTTGACATCCCTTTTACATTCCTTCCTTTTGAGTTCCTTTGGTACTTTCCAAAAAAATGCCTCATTTGTCCTCTCACGCCATCCTGCTCTCTCACTTTGGATTTTCCCACTTAAGCCTGAGTGGCTGCAGCCTTTCCCTATCAAAGCTTTTGTTTGTTTTTCCCTTTTCCTCCTATATCTCTTTCCCTTTCCTTCTCTCCCTTTCACTACTGACCTAGAATCTTCCTGAAAAGCCTAATTTGAATCACTCTCCTCTTGCTTGAAAATGGTTAATGGACAAAGCATGAGAGACACAGCCTCCTCTTCTCTATCTCTCCCTCTGGCCACTCTGTGTGTCCTCACTCAGACACAGGCTGCGCTCAAAGTGAAAGTGCTATGCTGGATGGTTTATCTGCTCCCTTAAAGTCTCAGCCCCTCCCATCACTACACGTTTTACCTCACTATTGACTGACCCGGCTCCCTCCCCCCTGCTCCCCACATTCCCTGACACCCACCCTCTTACCCCCATCCTCCCCCATCCAAACCAGGCCCGACGAGAATTAGTCATGCAGTTGGCGCGTATGTTTTTAATTTGGACTCTCCCCCACACCTCTGTGCCTGTGGATCTCCTGCTCTTTATCCCTTCAGAGTCAGTGTGCAGTATCATCCTGTTTAATCATCACGTGTTTTTTTTTTTTTTTTTTTTTTAAATCACATTCCTTGAAAACTGACAAACAGGATTGCAACACTGCATTGCCAGAACTTGCAAGTCATTCCATGTGTGACAGCTTTCCTTTCGTCATTACCGTTGAATACAGCTCCACAGAGATGGACAGTGTCATTGTGACGTCTAATATTGTGCGCAGCTGTTCTCATCCTGTCTGTAATGTGTTGTTCTACCCCCTCAGGTTATGTGAAGCATCATGTTATTTTCTATTTCAGTTCGGTGTCAGAAGAGGAGTTAATTATTAGTGAAAGGAAGGAAGTACATTGTTGTTTCTTTGCGACAAATAGGAATTGTTCTACGTGTCCTTTTTCAACACAAGCCAAACGAGGCAAGACAGTTTTCCAAAGTCCCATGTCTGCTGAGGGGAAAAGGAAACTAGAGAGCAGCAGCTTCACTGCGAGCAATGCATCAACTCTCCCTGAGGCATCATCAACTCAAAACCTCTTCACCTCTACTATGTGTCTTAATGATGGGTATAAATATCCCCTCATTGTGCTGTCTTCCTGTTTCATACATCACTTGTATGTTGGGGAAGTAAATATGCCACTCATTTGTGGAGCTGCTGCAAATTTTGTGCTTCTATGAGTGAAAGTTGCAAAATGAAATCCAGATTTGAGTAAAATGTAGAAAAGCATAAAAAAAAACAGTTAGGCAACACTACACACAATGCTGAGTGGCAGATTCCTTTTCAATCCTATTATTTATAAACTCAGTGCTCTTTCAATTTGGACTAAGAGTTTGAACTTTAACACAATCACTGCATAGGTATGGTTGAAGAAAAAAAAATAAAACAATAAAAAAAAACCCTATTTAATCAAAGCGGTATATTGTTGAATTTTATCGACTAAAGTCTGCAAGATTCTGCAAAGCAACAGGCTCAAATAACTGTGGCATGGAAAAAAAAAAAAAAGCACAACTCTTTAGTGGATCCGTGTGTGACTGGCTCATTAAGAGGCCAAAATCCTGCTGATGTGGTCGGCTCTACTGGAGTGCACCCTTGTTATGCAACCAATTTGTACATTTAAGGACAGCAGAAAACCTTAAAAGTGTTGTCTTACACCACTAGAGACTTGTTGGCTGACAGCCATTCAAACAAGTGAGTGGGGAACTGGCAGAGAAATGCTGCTCCCCTCCTACACTCCCCTTTTGCTCCCTCTTTATTCTTCCTGTTCGCCACAAGATGGAGCCAATTGTGGAATTAAAAAAAAAAAAAAAAAAAGGATATCAGACTGACTGTTCACATTAATTTATTTCATTTTAAAACTTCAGTGGAAGAGTAAACAAAGTGCAAAGCCTTTTTGTAATAAGTTAAACTTTACATTTTAGTACGAAGTGGTCTCCTACAGTAATTCTCTTTGACAAACAAAAGCCCTCATATTATCCCAACTGACTGTGTTAATCCGTGCAGGATAATAACCAGGGTTAGGTACACAATAAATTTCTCATTACTTAAAAGACAATAATGGATGAGCCAGGGCATCTCTGGCATCCACTCACAGCCCTCTTTCATTCCACAAAAAGTCCCAAACAGTTACCAAAACTGACTCTTGCTTTTCACTTTCCTTTCCTCCGGAAACCCCCCCTTCTTTTCACCTTCCTTTTCTTCACCCCCTGCTAACTCCTTTTCCTCCTTCTTATTGTCTTTGTTACTGGCTGGGGCTCCTCTCCCCTCCTCGGACAGCTGTCATTAAATGGCTCTTGTAGGTTTTGCTGAGTCCAGTCATCCAGAATTTAAGGAGCCTGACGTTGTCTTCCTCGCCCGGCCCGGTGGCGCCAAGGAGGGCCAGAACCTTCTGGGTGTCCTCCCTCCCTCGCCCGTCCACTTTGGAGAACTTGAACAGCACTTTGACTTTACTGAAGGAGCGAGAAGTAGCTATGAGAAGGCTTTCATATGCAAAATGGAGAAATCTTACTTAAACCCAAATAGTCTTCATTAAGACTGAGTGAATTCTACTCACTTCATCCACTCCTCCTTCAAACACAGCAGGCAGTGAGATACGACGTCCACAGACAAGTTCTCGTTAGACAGAGCCACCTCGAGCTTGTTCAGTAATGTGGGACCTGGAAAAAAGAGTGCAAAAATTCAGTCTATCAATTATTTTTTAAAGTTCATCATATGACCTTTATTTCTATAGTTCAACCTTTTGTCAGAAATGACCTTCACATGTTTCCTGCCAACTTAAATACCTCCAAGAAGGTTATGTTTTTGATCCCTTTCATCCATGTGTTATCTCAAAACCTGGCTGATAAAACAGCTTTAAATGACAGTTGGTAGAAAGATGGGCTGTGATCCGAGGAACAAATCATTTCTGATGCTCCAAATATTTTGTGATGTGGATACAAATCTTGTTTTTTAAGGATTCCTTAACATCGTAGGATGGGTCATGTCTGAATATCTGTGATTTTGTTTTACATTGCAGTAAACACAAAGTGAGTACTTCTAAATTCAGGTAGGTATGCTCACCCCTGTCTGTGGGCTGTGTGTTGGCACTGCTGATGGTGAACTGATAAAGTGAGCAGATATCGTCGTCATGTACAGCTGAGATCTGGAAGTTTCTCTCTGTGCTCACATCCACCAGCACTGAAAACTCTACAGAACAAAACAAAAGTCAACATAATGTGAACTGCAAATACAAGCCAACAATTTGTGACAGAAGCTGTCTTGGAGGGTTCATATCGTTTTATGTATAGTGTGATTTTGAAGGCTCTTGTACCTGAGGAGCTGACGTGGGTTGGAATGGGCACATCTGGGCTGAGACCCAGGAAGTTGCATTTGTAGGCCTCCTCATACTGAGCACTGTATGGCACAGAACGCACACAGCCTACTGGGAGCAGAGACTGATGAGAGAAAGGATAGAGATTCAGATAAGAAACCTAGCATGAAAAGGAAGTTATCTTGCAAAGTAAACTGAAATTAACATTTGTAGCCCTGTGCACCCACACTGGAAGCTCTCACTTACTCTGGCTGATTAGACCTCTGTTAAAGCTGGGTGGGGCTGTGCAGGGAATTATCTGAGGACACCACACACTGAAGTAATAACAACCAGCACTGTGCTGAACCTGCTTACCTGTATATTTGTACAGTTGTTGTGTTCCTATTTTGCGATAAAATTTTAAAACACAAATCATAAAAAGTATAACAACACCAACAGGAGAGCGAGGGAAAATGACAAGATAAGGACAGTCTGCAAATGTCCACGCAGCCCCGAGAAAAGGTTCAATAAAGCAAAATAAGGGTAAACACGTCATTTGGAGGGGGTGGGGGGGTGGGGGGTCTTTTAGTACGTGATAGGTTTTTTCACAGCAGACATTTTTACATGTCACAAGTGTAAATAATAACATTAATGATGACTGAGGTTCATTGAGCATTTCACTGTCTCACAGTGACATTATACAGATTATCAGTAACACCTACATCACAATGACAAGTCAAAATGTCCGCCATGAAAAATGCCTGGGAGGGAGCAGAAAACATGCAACAGTGTAATTATAATCAAATACAATTCAAAATATTTTTAAACAATATCAAATTATCACATAAAATAAAAAAAAAAAACAGTTCAAAGGAACAGTGTATCTTGCATACAAAGGTAAGCATGGCAAACATATACTGGCAAGACAATTTCAGGGTGTGTATTGCAGTAGCTTAAATAATTATATGTTTAGTGTCTAGAAATAAAACATAATTTAAGAAAGTGAATAAAGAAAGATATTTTATGGAGAATTTAACTAAAACACAAACGCAATCTTAACATGGCATTTGTGATCTTTAGTGGTTTACACTATATAAGTAATCTTTCCAACCTTACCAACGTAAAATGGGTGTGTTTAGTGTTAGATGATTATAACAACTCAAACTGTGTTATGCTACCCTCCATTTAACCAATGACACAATATTAAACCACTGTTTAACTAAACAGGTCCCTCAGAGGTGTTACCACTTGTCCTAATTCCTATGTACCTGCATCATAACACCATTATTTTTCCTAATGACGCAGAAATGGACACAGTAGTACAGTAGAGTACCTTGAGTACTGTAAATGCTGATTGGATGAGCCCGGGGTGTGCGCCCCTCCATATGACCTGATTTCCCATGAGCACGTGCCATGCTAGCTGACGAAACTCAGCAGCCCCGAGGACCTGCAGAACAAATTAGACAGTACTGTACAAGAGCTCACTGATACAGTATGTATATTAATTTCTCAAATCATCATGAACTAAAACTTAACAGATTAAGGCCATAAATCTATAGATTCTTGCAAAATATTGAGCATTTTTATCCCTTTTATTCTGCTTGCATTGTTAATTGTGTAATTATGGGCATCAAAATGTAAAGCTCAAAAAGTACCTAGGTTTACCTGTCTCAAGTGCCTCAGTGACCTAAACTTTGGACCAGGTAATTCATCAAATTTTGCATCATCACAAAGGAAGTCGTGGCCCAGCTCGCTCTCTGACTGGTGCCGCTGTGACTTCAGAGCACCTCCTTCTGCTCCCTCCCAGCAGCTCATTTCCTCCTCTTGCTCTTTTGGGAAAAAAAAAATGTCATAAAAACAGATGTAGAGATGACCAAATGTTTTAAACCCGAACTCATTACAAATGGAGGTAATTCCCAAAGGAAACCAGCAGAAATGGCTGGAACTACATGATGTGATGTTACTCATCATCTCTTTCTAAAAATAAAATCAACACTGTAATATTTCACCACATATCCATGACTTTTTCAATACATATACTAATAGATTACTGCTAATACTAGCTAGCACATGATGGTCCCTGTGTCATGTGTCACTCACAGTATCAGGTTGACCGAATCTGTACAACATGAAACAAAAAAACAAAACAAAACGGGCATTTTAAATGTACTTTATCTAGCTTTTTTTGAAGTGCTACAGAAATGAAGTTTATTTACCTATTATATAAATATTAGAAAGCAGGATATTGCTATAACCACAACCTAAGAGCCAATCTGGACTGGGAAATATCTCTAATAATTTTTATCACTTTTGTAAATCTTGACTAAAACCTGTGTAAACTCTGCCAGGAAAGGCAGCATGTCTGTGTACAATGGTTAAATGATTCACTATTTTTACAGCTAGCGATTCTCTGAATTGGTTAACCCAGTGAATCAGACGTTCACAGAAGACTTTTAAGACTGATGAAACATTGTGCAAACAAATGACATCTGCTGATGTAACAATCCATAAAGGGGCCACACCTTGCCTAGAAAGCAAGACACGTTGAAGCAATGCCTTCCAAGGTAAATTGTGTTCTTTTTGGCTCATACAGTGGCAAGAAAAAGAATGTATTAATTGGTCATAAGATTTGATCTGCTCTTTATCTAAGACAGACTGTTTACACTAATAACATGAAAACAATTACAATTTTTCATGTCTTTATTGAACAAACCCATTGAACATTCACAGGGCACAAATAACCTCAAACTAGCACTTTCTGTAGCAGCAGATCAGATCTGCACGAAGTTGAGGAGAAATTTTGGACCATTTTTCCTACAAACTGCTTCAGCTCAGATGTCTGCTGTGAGCGTCTCTCTTCAGGTCAGTCTACAGCATCTCTACTGGATTATGGTCTGGGCTCCGACTGGGCCACTTAAAAATGTGGAGTTTGAAGTCATTTTGTAGATTTACTTTGATGTTTAGGTTATTGTCCTGCTACATCACCCAACTTGTCTCAGTAAATTTGGGAGTTCCTTTTCCCTTCAGAGGCACAGTGATGTTTTTTTGGAGAGCAGTGGCTTCCTCTGTGGTGTCCATGGCAGGACAACATGCTCCAGGCAACCATGCGCCCTGATTTGTGTATAGTAGACTCATGAACAGAGATGTTAACCAAATCCAATGATTCCTTCAAGCCTTCAGCCGTTACTCTCAGGTTCTTTGTTATGTTACTAAGCATCCTGCGTGGTGCTTCTGGAGCCATCTCAGCTGGGCGTCCGCTTCTAAGGAGATTAGCCACAAAACGAAATCTTCTCCATTTATAGACAGTTTGTCGGACTGTGGACTGATGAATATCTAGACTCTTTGAGATGACTTTGTAACCCTTTCAGCTTCATGCCAGTCTTCTGAGATCTTTTTTTGTGAGGCATTGTTCACATCAGCAAATGTTTCTTAGGAACAGCAAACTCAAAATGTGTTTCTTTATATAGGTCAACGTAGATTGTGTTTGTTCATTATTGTAACTTAGATGAAGATCTGACCATATTTTAGGACAAATTTATACATAAATGCAGGTAAATCCAAAGGGTTCACTTTTTCTTGCCATTGTAAATTGTCACCTGACAGTTTTTTGTCTTCAGTTTTTACCCAATTACAGGGATAACAAGATCTTAGATGAGTAAATACAAAGTCCTGCACTACAGAATAATCACCCTGTTTAATTAAGGATACTCTTTCTACCTGTCTGTCTCTCTATGAGCACCAGTGTGTCCTCAGTAGGGGCTCCCTCGAGCAGCTTCTCTGTCAGACGACTACCACAGGCCTTCAGCAGCCTGGAAATGAGGTGAAAACACACATCAGCATGTCCAGGTGAGTGATTACACACCAGTCACATGGAAATGGATAACAGCTTGTCTTGTGGGACTGACAATATATCAACTCACCAGCTAAAGGAGGAGTGCAGGCTGGCCCAGAGGTTGGGATGCTGGGTAAGAGAAGTTAGTGATCGGGCTGCGTTGCCGCTCCTTTGGTGTGGGAAAACTGCAGGTGAAAACACACTGTTCATCCTCACAGCTCGCTGGGGGCAAACTCCTTGCTCACTGTCAAACACCTGATGCACAGTACAACAAGAAGACATTAGGTGTTGTAATAGAAACATGCCTATGGAATAAGTCTTTATATTTCTATTTTAGTAAAGTGAATGAATGCATGTAGTGTCTATGTGTGTGCCCTACCTTGAGGGCTGTGCTTTGCAGGCTCTGTATTGTGAGTTTAAGGTGGCGTAACAGAAAAGGCCAGGAGTTGATAAGGTAGATCCTGTCCATGGCTACCATGACAATACTGTACCACCGCTGAAAGCCCCTGGCCAGGCTGTCTTTGATAAAGAAGGTGTGTGAAAACACAAAACCATGTTGCTCATCTCCAAAGAAAATTGGCCCTTCACGGCCGGGACACACCTGACAAAACAGACAGAGAAAATTGGAGGAAGCATATGAGGAGACAGAGGAAAAAGAAAATCGATATGTTTATTTGGTGTATGAGATGTGTGACTCACACACACATACATACATGCAGACGTACGTCACTGTTTACCTCACAGCTGAGGCTGCGTACACAGGCCTGGCGGACCACACTGAAAAGCTGAGGCTGTCTGGGATGCTGGTGGCTCAGGAAGCGTATACCTGTTTCATCATCAATGCTCACAAAGCCTGGGTGAGATGCAGGCAGAGATCGACATCCCTATGAAGCAAAGAGAAGAAGTAAATGAGCACTCTGAGACAGATGACAGGATTATGGACTCACCTACATAACAGAAAGTTAAAGCTAGAGTGTAATGTAGCGGGTGGTTAGGGTCAGATTGAGGCAAGTTTCTGAAAATGTCATGTTGAGTTGACCATCTCTCCTTGGCCTGCCCCCTCCCCTCACCTCACACATTTCTCCTCTCTGTGTGGCTGAGCTGTTGGCTCTCATGGTCAGCCCTTCTCCTTCCCGGTCACCGTCTCGGTCCCTGTCCCCAGATGCCGGGATCCCTGCCTGGGATGAGGGGGACGGGGATGGAGGGTGTAGTGCCTCGGTACAGAACAGTGTCCGAGGGCCATGAAGTTCACAGAAGTGACAGAGAGCCACCAGAGCATTCATCTGAGAGAGAAGTATTTATAGTGCTGAATATGTGACTTATATGGGAACGCTAGTAGTCGGTTTCTCAAAAAGTTTCTTATTAACAGGCTCCACTAAAGTCAAGACATGGTCATTTTAAGTGATACTAACATAGTCTTACCTTCAGCGGAGACACAAGATCAACAGATGACTGGCGCTAAATGCAACTACATAGGACATTCACTGATCGCAGTGTCCAAAATACCGTTATATACAAAGCAGAATATCAAAACTGTGGTATAAAACAGAATTATTTTTTGTATTTAGTCCGTTTTCCGATCCATGTTTCTCAGTTTAGGTTATGCAGTTGCTAAGCTAACTGACAACAACAGACCATATCACGTGAGGCAGAGTCACGCGCCTCAAGCACAACTGACGCATGGTTTTTATGCTGCATTCATGTAACATCGGCAAAATGGGAAGAATAGGAAAAACAGCCGTTAATACAAGAGTTCGGAGTGTTCAAGCACTGTTTTAAAGTGGCTAACACTAGTGCTGACATTGTAGTCACACCAGATAAACCGCCTAAATTAGCATATCCTGTTGTGTTGCGTTTTTGTGGCAGTTTGTTACCAAGTGAGAACAGATATATAAGACTGCATAGCTCCTATAAACTTACTTGGAGCCATTCTGCTGACACATTGTTTTCATGTCTGTAATGCTTTTCACGTTTTGTGATTTGAAATTTACTTGGTGTCAGAAATTAAAATTATAAATCACTAGCTGAAATGAACTGGGCTTCTCACCCTGGTGGTCGAATTTACTGTTTAAACAACATGTCTTGAAAGCGGCATTAATTGCAACACTTTTTAAATCGATGTCGTGTATTATCAAAGCGAAAAGAAACAACATATTATTTGTCAATATCATCATAACTAATATAATATAATATAATATAATATGTTAACGTTTGTTAAGGTTCCACAAAGTCATTTTTCGAGGAAAGACAAATTAAAACTACATTACCCATAATTCCATCTGAGTCGACTAATTCGGGGTCAAAGGGAAATAAAAAGTCAGGACCGTGTACTTCTATGGTTGGTATGTCCAAGATTAAAAGAATAATATTCAGTTGAATTTTAAAGACGTTTTTATGTTTTTTTTATGAAATTGTTTTAGATAAATATTTTTTCAAGGAGTTGTTGAATTACGAAATTTCCATACTATTGTACGACACTGACCACTTCCGCAGCAGCTGAGAGAAGCGGCATTGAGAAATATATTTTTTTCAGTTTTAGGAGTGCCACGTTTAACTTTGTCATTCTCTCAGGTCAAACAAAGCTAAAGGTGTATTAGCAAATATCACAGCGACACAGCACACTTTTCTCAGGTAACATCGCCTTTGAATATAACAGATTTGAGCATGGCATCAGACGGACCAGGAGTGACCACAGAACCACCCGAGGACCAAAGAGATGATGGCCACCTGACAGAGGCAGGGGTCTCAGCTGACCCTAATAGTGGTGAAGACACTCTAAAAGCCATAGCAGGTAAATCACCCTGTTAAGTTTTACATACACTGATACACAGTAATTTGTCAAGTGGGTCCTCAAAGGCGACTGAGTTTATTTAATACATTATAAAGTCTAATATGTCACTTATGAAAACATGGTTATGTACAATATTGACCTGCTGCTAACTTGTATTACTGAGGTCAGTTTGGATCCTTTCCAAGTAATTGACTCTTCAAACAAATTCATCAGTCCGTGGTACGTTTCTGTGTTACTGTGAGCAAGTTGAGTTATGGTAAGTTCTTGCTTAAGTTATCATGTAGTTGGAATTCCTCTCATTGAAAATGATTGTTGAACAAGTATAGAGTTACAAGTACTGGCTTTGACCTCCCAATCCAGTATGAGGAGTAGATTTACTGTCTGCTTCCACTCCCACTTGTCTTACTGGGGTCAACTCCAAATGAATATTGCTAGGAGTAAAGAAAGGAAGTGGCTGGGGAGAGGGCCGTCTGGACCTCTCTGTTGAGGCTGCTGCCCCCGCAACCCGGATCCTGATAAGCGGAAGACGACGAGACGAGGAGTAAAGAACATAAATCAATATTTTACTTTTTAGTCACTAGTCAGTTGTACCAACATCTTATGTCTGGAAGCACTCAAAAGATGCCCATGAAAGTCTGTTGCTGTTGGCCCATGATCTGGGTAATCTGTGCCAGCCAGTGCCATCATAGTAGAAAGGAAAATGTTATAGTTAATAATTAGTGGATCTGGGCAATGAGTCACTCCTATTGGGAAATAGCATTGCAGGGTTTGTGGTATGTGTTGGAGCTTATGAGAAACCACGTCCTTACTACTTGGCTGACATTTGAGTCCTCTGAGGCAAGTCATTGCCACCTGTTACATTATTTATACTCTTTGGAGAGGAAACAGTGTTATACACTCCCAGTTCCCTTTTGGGGATTAATCACTTATTTATCTCTGATTTCAGTTGTTAATTGTGATATCATACCTGCTTAAGATAAAAATCTAAAGGAATCCAGTAAAACAGTTTCAAATTTGATTTCTTGTGCAACACAGTGGGCAGGTGATTAGAGATCATATTTCTTGATGTCTGTGCATTTACCATATATCTGTGCTATGGCACACATAAACATATCTCACCGACATAGGCACATATACTGTAGGAGACACAGGAAACATGTATTGAAAAGACATTCAGAAACAAACAAGAGAAACATAATTCCTCCTCAAAGAATGAATCGTACATTACACTCTAAATAAATATTTTCATTTATCCTGTTTTCTGCCTTAAGTAAACAGTCAGCACTCTAATCTGAGAACATCCTGCCTCACTATTGTAGATATTTTCAGTTACGGTGAAAACTGCTTTAAACTTCCAGACAGACCTTTCTTTGTATCTGTGTCCTCTCTTCCGTCTGACTGGCTCAGACTGTAGAGGACAGAGGTGTGGGGAAATGATGTTTGTGATTTCATGATTTCTTTATTTTTATTTCCTGGAAGTGGCTCTCGATATCACCTGTTGAGTGATCATATAAACAGCACATATGTTGATAATTGATGTTTCACACAGACTAGACTGGCCATGTTACAAATTTTGTTTTCCTCTTGTGTTGTTGTTGTGTCACTTTTCTGATGTAATTTAAATGCAGAGCCAAATTTGAACGGCTGCAGACTTTCTTTACAAACTTTCAATACAATTTATTGCACATCTGCCCCTCTTACCTTTGCTTTCACTCTCTCTTTCTCTCTGTGGCTCTATCATTTACAGAGTCAGCAAAGTGGGATGAGGATGGAGTCAAAGTATGCCAGTTTTTCCTGATGGGAAAGTGTCATTTTGGACTCAGATGCCGCTTATCTCACAGGTATGCTTTCCTCACCTTGTTCAGACCCAGTCACCAACAAGATAATAGAGGACTTTTAGTTTTTCAAATAAATTCTAGACATCCTCTTAATTGATTTTTGATAACTTCAACACTAAAGAAGTTGGAAATAGTTGTATTACAGCAGCCTGTTAGCATTAAATATATGGCTGTCTGAATATCAACTCATCTTATCAATTTATTGATAAACCCTGCCTGGTTTAGGAGAATTCTTCAGATTATTTTTAATAACCGCATTACTAAAAAAGTTGGAAATCTTTGTAGCACACTTGTTAGCAATTAACAGATCTAGTAAACTCTGTGTGGATTTTTTTATTTCTAATATTGTGAGTTGCTGGTCATGTTGCATCACAGACGGATGTTTAAACTCAGCCATGACTCAATATGGGTGCTGCAAAATGTTCATATACTGTTTATTCGTGTCAAATGGAATTAGGACTTTTTCCACATTTTGTCATCATTTCGCAGTGATCCATCACTAGATGATTCAGGGGCTTTGTCTCCTGATCCGGATGACACACCGGATGGAGAAAAGATGGAAAAACATAAGAAGAAGAAAGGCAAAGTGAAGAAAGCAAAAAAGCCAGAATACCAGGAGGGACAAGGTCACTGCATATTTGGATGGTTAAGTAATCTGATGACAGCACACTTATAAGATACTAGTGAAGGAATCACCTTTTCTCTTCATTAGTATATTTTATCTCTATTTTTACCATCTGTTCTTCCACAGAAGTGAACAAAAAGCCCCGTATGCGCACAGCAGATGACGTTATCTCTCGGATACTATGGGACACGTCAGTCGATGCATCAGAATTTGTAGTGGGCTATGTGGATCGCTTCCTTGGTGTGCTGGAGCGACCCTTCTGTGACTTCAACTGGGACACAAACCCCTGTGACTGTGATTACACTTCTGAACTAGCCCTGCCTAGACACAGGATCCAGTACTTCACCTACAGAGGGCACCGCGTCTGGGACCGCCACAGCAGAACTGACAGGGTGTTTGGCTCCACCGGTCAATCTCTGGCTCCCCCCTTTGGAGGGGATGAGGAAGTAAAGGGTAAGAGAGGGCCCTTAGGGTGCTGCCCCACCTCACACACAGCCACATGCAAAGTAATTTCAGACAAAATATACAAAAGCCAGTACACTCAGAATGTACGCTGAAAGAAAATAACCATGTGTTTTACAAGAAATGAACACAGAAGTCCAAGAGCTACAACAAGACGGCATTAAAACAACAGAAGTCACAGAAGTCAGTGGGCAGGAAGAGAGTGAAACAGAAGAGTGTACTCAAACTGGGAACACACATCTGGAGGAAGAGGAGCAGAATGAGATGAATATTCACACCCCTGACTCAACACAACCAGCACCAACGTGTAGAGAAAACGCCTCTCAGGAACAGCAATCACGAGGAGCATGTGTTGTGGAGGAGGCTGCAAATAGGTCTGGTGTTCAAGTTCATCTTTTAAATGTAACTGAGAACAGACAACTCCTGTACAGCACAAAATGGTATTTTTAGTGTCTACATGTTCCAGCCTGAGCCTGTTTGTACAAAATGCCTACTTAAAGTCAAAACAACATGGAAGTTAGAACGTCGTTAGCCTCAGTAATGTAAACCAGATTATGTGTGCGGTGCTAGTTACAAGAGGGATTTAAATTGGATCCTTTTTTATTCAATTGGATCACTCAAAAATGGTCAAAACATTCAGAGAATATGTTGTCTTAATATGTAGAAGACAATTCACCCGCACCCACACCTTCCTCACCCGCATTGTTGGATCAGTATGTGGATGATTAAGGACAAATGAATGAATGATTCCTCGCCCACACCCTTTTTTAAATATAAATCACTCTGCCAGCTACAACCCATGAGCTAAAGGTCAAGTGTGGTTATATATAATGGACACAGTTCGCTAGTCATCTATACAGCCCAGATTCCAAAAGAAATCTTTAAAAAATATAATGCACTACAGGAAAACAGAGGCATTTTGATTTAAGAATATCATTTTTACATTTATGAGGTTTATGTTTATAGGAGTGTCTTGGTTTTTAAGTTAAAGCTGAACCTTGGAAAACAATCTCAGAAGTTACTTGCCTTAACTGCCTCTTGAGTAATTTTAATCACTTGTTTTGATTTTAGAGTTAAGGCTTCAACAGAACAAATGTCCTCACTCCAAAAAGAGGGAGTGACTATAAAAGAGGAGAGAGAGCGAGAGACTTTGGTAGGATTGCAAGAAAGCTGGGAGGGCAATGAAGATACTTTGGTGAGTACAGCACAGCTCACCCTGAAATAAATTCTTCTTCCGCTGTTACTGTTCAGGTTTAACATAGTAATTCTCTTTATGCTCCTCTTCTACTTTGCACAGAGTTATCTCGGGGCCCTGGACATTAGCCAGAATCCATCAGCACCTCTGGAGCAGAGAGAGGCAAAATGTGGTGGTCGCCCCCCTAAAAAACGACCCACGCACTTCATCACCTTCAGGGCCAACACTCCTGGTATCCTCACCTGTTTCCAGCAGCTACAGGAGGAAGTACTCTCCCTTTTGCCCTCCTCTGCCCCTCACTGGCATACTGCCTCCAACCTTCATGTCACCCTGTGCCTCTTGGTGCTGCACAGCCCAGCTGAGATAGCCGCTGCTGGGGAGATCCTCCGACGGTTTGCCCATTTGGATCGCAATCCCCCGGTGGCTGTGACCTTTCCTGTGAAGTTGAAGCATTTCAATGGGAAGGTGCTCTATCTTAGCCCCCAGCCTCAACTTCCCCTCCAGCAGCTCAACAGTGGCCTGCAGGAAGCCTACCGGGAGGAGGGATTGCTCCACAGGGACTCCTACAACCCGCGCTACCACCTCACTCTGGCCAAGGTAGAGGACAAGGAGGGAGAGAGGATTTTTGAAGGGGTGGGGGACCTTAAGGTGGGGAAGGGTTTAAATTTTGGCCGTCTGCCGGTTAACACCTTACATCTTTGTGCCATGGGCGGTTGCAGAGTTGATGGTTTTTATGAGATTGTGTGCACAGTAACTCTTCGATAGAAGACCGAGCCATTTCACATGCACTACAAACATTACATTACTGAGCACATTGCATTTGAACGAGCCATGTGGCCTTACCAACCAAATTTCGTATCCGCGTTTCAATGTTTTAAATTAGCGAAGATGCACTTTGGGTAAAAGGGCGTAAAGTGAAACTTGATCCAGAGCTGCGGGACAGTGATAAACACCCTTTGTTCAGTTATTAAAAATGTATTTTAATCTGTTTTAATCTACATTATATGTCATATTGATATTTCAAGATGAGAAATGAATGTAGCCCACACATAATACAGTTTTATAATGCAAACTTTTTTCATGTTTTAATGCAAAGTTTCATCAGTCCTCTTATTTGTTGCCTTCAGTTGCTAGAAATTAAAGATTAAAACACTATGAAACAAACACTTGCTAATTAAACATCAGTTGATCAATAGAAAATGTATCTGGAGCTATTTTGATGACCGATTGATTGATAGTTCTAACTTGTGCATTGTTAGAACACGCTGATGCTGCTTTACTTTGTCACTTTGTCTTATGATAAACTCTAAATTTTTTGATTGTTGGTTAAACTAAAGAGACATTTTGAAGACATCACCTTGGACCTTGGAGTGTAAACTTCGATGTGTACTTTAGTCAAATCAGCCTCCAGGTCCAGGAGGTAACACATGATTTTTATGTGCTCTTTTGCAACCAAGGAAAATTATTGTAGAGAAAAGATGATGATATAGATGATGTAATTGCTCACTTTTCATCAGCTGAGTCTTTTCACTCACTACCCATGTAGAGTAAAATACCTACTTCCTTTAAATGCAAAAATTGCCTCAAGAAAAAAAAAAAAGCCTTGCCTTTTTTTCCCTCTATCTATTATGTATTGGGCCAAATAAGGTGACTGGGGCCAACTTTGGCCTGCAGGCCCCACTCTGAGCATCTTTGATATCTAGTGTTTTACTACTACGCTGACAGGACATATGCACCTGCCACAAAGGCGATTACAGGATACATAAATTGTTTATGAGGGGGTAAAAATTATGTTTTGTTTACAGCCATGAATTTACCAAAGTAGTTGTTTTCTGCAGCTCGTAATTCCATGATTTATACAATCTGTTTTATATGAATATTGTATGGGCTGTGTTCCACAAGAAGGATGTCTTTGTATCATTTAACAATGAATTATAACCACTAGATTGTCAAGGACATTAAATATTGAACTGGTTATTTTAAATCCTGAGTGGTGATATTTTATCAGTGCAGGGATGGATGGCCTGGATGCAGTACAGTTGCTGTTGCTGTGGTTTAACATACAGACACACAGTGGCTGCATAAACGCTCCCTGAGCAACTCTTGCATACATAATATAATTTTCTGTCTTCTTTCCCCTCTTCCTCCCAGATACACACATACACTTTACATAGGCTACATGAGTCAGTGAGTATGCTCTCTGGCTCTCCACTGTTTGCTCCCTGGCTCGCATTATCTCCCTGCCTCCCTTCCCCCACTCCCTTTCAGTGACACAGAAAAACTAACGCCGCCCCCTCCCTCTTTGCTCGCTTGCTTCTGCCCCCCTTTCTCCAATGGCAGACAAACACCATACTCTTTTTACTCTTTATTGCTGTGTTTTACCAGTACATCTCCAATCTGCATTTCTCAGACAGACCACTCAGGTAGCAGCTCCATCAGTACGCTCTCTTCACTTGTGTCATGTTGTTGCATGTTCTCTGCCTCCTTGTCACTGAATCAGTGTTGATGCTGTTCTGCAGCCTCCACTGAAAACTGGTTTTGCCTACAAATCCATTGCATGCCGCTTTCCCCCTCTCTATTCATTGTTCACTCCATCTCTCGCCCTCCCTCCTCTTTTCTCTCAGCATCACTCTCTGGGAACCCACTTTTTTTCTTTTTTTTTGCCCTCTGTATTTCATGTTGCTTTTCCCTGCGTCTCCCCCTCCCCATATTCATCTGTGTGTGCTCCTTCGCCTCCCTTACTCTAAATTTATGTGCATCTCTACTTCAAATTAGCTCTCGACACATCACAGCCTGACAGTGCTGTCATAGGCAGGAGTTCACTACTTTGCATCCAACATGTGAGTGGATTTTTAAAAAAATCTCTTTTCACTATCATTTAGCGCCCACGGTTGGTGGGCAGTTCTGCCTTTTTACTGTTTCTCTCAGTAATCTGGTCAGGGTTCAGTCTGGTAGTCTGGACAGAGATTGGTCAGGTTGATGGGAGTGTGCATGGATGTTGGTGGGGGTCGGTGTTAGGAGTGTGCCTCTGGTATCTCGGTTTGAAGTGAGTGAGGGGTTAGACCCCGCTAATCCCTGTTAACAGATTAATTATCTTTGGGCAATATCGTGTTGCTGCTGTGTTGTGAAGTCGCTTGGGCGTTAAGATACGAAGGGCTACAATGCAACGATAAAGAGTCCCTTAGGGGTGTCTCCTCAATCTTAATCCCCCTCTCTCTCTCTCTCTCTCTCTCTCTCTCGCTCTCGCTCTCTCTCTCTCTTTCTCTCCCTCTCTCTTTCACTCACTCGCTCTCGCTGAGAGCTCCTCTCTCATCCATCAACCCAAGCACCTCTCCACTGGCACCAGACAACTATTCAATTATTGGCATTTTAATATTTTAATAATTGCAAGAATTATTGGCTTATTTTTTCCCCTTCTTTTTTTCATTTTGACATATTTTTGGCATGTCTCCAAGCCATTTTTTCAGGATGATGTTTTTTCAAGAGCATCAAGCGTTGATGGCTGGCAGTATACCTCTTTGAGTGGGTAAATATTTCACGGACACCGGCGAAGAGAAGAGACAGAAGGAGAGAGAAACCTCCCAACACAACTGACAGAGGTAAGAGACTGATCTCTGTCTTGTTGATTATGGCTCGGTTGTTGATGTGGTTTGCAAAGATTGATCATCAATTAAGTGAAATACAATACAACAGCCACAGTTTAGTGCTAATTGGAATGTGTTCTTATCTTTGCAGTGACTGATAATGTATGTTCATGAAACCTTACACCATAGTGCCAAACTGGATTCATTTTTTTATCTTTTCAGCTATCACACCTAATGGGTGAATTTTCTCCCATGAGCATTTTTAGAATAAGAAATTTGGCCGATAGATGATGCTGTAATGATTTGATTGCATCCACTCATTTTCCAACCAATTATGGTTTCATCTTGTCTCATATGTATATATGTATATTTTTTTTCAAAATGCTTTGGACCAAATGCTTTTCTCCCATATAGGATTTTCAGTTTGATCAGTAGTGTGGAAACATTTTTGTCAACATCAACTTGTCATGCTGCACTCCTGCACACATCAAAGCACTGATTTGCTCTGACTTACTGACTATGAGCTGCACTCACTTACCTTCGGTCAGCTGCACTCACTTGAAGCTTCATTGTTGGAACTGAACATTCATTCTGCAAATGAATGTGAACTGAAAATTGATTTTTTTTTTTTTTTTTTTTTTAATTGAGAATATTCTTCTTGTCCTGTGGCCTCAGCAGACAAAGGTAACTTGTAACCCTTCACAGAGATGTAAATGAATTTCTCCTGGCTGATGTAGTGTGTCCACGGCTGTAATGCTTTCTCATAAATTACAGTCATTAAGGTTGTTGTTAAGAGGCGGTTACATGACTACTCAGGCTGTAATGTGAATCATAACAGATTTTATGAGGGAAATTGGAAATGTGGATCATTTCAGCGCTAAAAGAACTCGATTATTTATATCTTCTGATTCAGAGAGTTGTGTTCTCATTAAAAAAGATGAAGGTGGAGATGATTTTCCTGTGCTAAAGATGATCCTAAATTCAGCTGACAGAGATGCTCCAGCCTCATTAGCTGCCTCACAAAATGGCCCTTTTCTTTACATTCAGACATCATGGAGTCTCATATCATGCAACTGATTTTCACTCTCGGTGTTGTCTGAGCTCTGTGTGGACAGAACACAACAGAATTATTCTCCTGCTTTGTTTTATCTTAAGCGCTCACGGTTGGGTGAGAGTCTGAGGTTTTTCTTCGCCATCTCGCTCCTTGACTCTCCTTTTTTTTTTTTTTTTCCTTTTCTCTCCACTGACTGAGCTCAAACTCACATTTATTTGCCTTCAGTTATGCAATGGTAACAGGCATGATAACAAGCTGGCAGGAGACATCACGTCAACTTGAGGCTTCCTATCTGTGACAACTGCTGAGTAACTGCTGCTCCAGGACTGTGAACCCCCCCATCACTTCCATCAGCACCTCATTAGGTTGCTTCAATAACTTTTTGGGTTGCAGCAGAATCCTACCTGAACTCTGAACTCATGACTGCCATAACTTTGCATTTCCTCAGCCACACATCTTGAATTAATTAATATTGTGCAAAAGATGATATCACAGTGAGACAGGTAACCTGCTGCCAGGCTGGTGATTCATATTTACTTACCTTTAATTGTTGATAATAGGTTTTATATGGTGGATTCTGATTGTGTCACCTCTTATTTGCCTCACAGTGAAAATCAATATTATTGGCCCACTTTATTGGTGATGGTAACCACAACTGGTAGTCTGACTGTCCTTTGTGGAATATTAGTTTTGTCTGTTATGCCTCTCAAAAAGCTTTTGCCCTCTCCAGAGTCTGATAAATGTATCTCATAGACCTGCCTCACAGTTCCTATAATACATCTAATCTAATAAAGTCACTCAAGAAGGAATGTGTAAAATATAACACCAGAGTACTGTACTCAGTCTGTTTACACTGCTGATGTGTGGTGGATAGATGTAGCTCTCGCAGTGTGTGAACCATTATGTTCAACACAGTTTTAATAAGGGAAATGGAGTGTTGGCAATGATTCGATTTGTGACAGTTGGGCTGCTGGAACCATTAAGGTGAACAGGCTTATTGTAATGGGCTTAGAGCAGCCCTGTCTGGCCTGTGGGCGAACTGTTAACTTGTTCTGGGCCATAACTGGCCCAGATCTGAATGGGGAAATTGTCTGGCGCTCAATTCGACATGTGGCTAAATCTAAACTTTTATCATGCACACTATTTAAAGCAATTATGTGCAGTGGATTGTAGGGTTGAATCAATGGGGATAGTAAAAAGCCTCACTGGTGTAGAATTCTGTGCTGAATGAAAGTTGTACTGAATAAATAACAGCTGCATTAAAAGATAACAAAATCCTGCACAGGCCTTTATGCAGAATGCAGAATTGTATCTGTCTGTAATATCTGCATTGAGCTGAGCTGTATAACCTTTTATATTTAAGCATCAGTGCTGTTGTTGTGAATGCTTCTCTCTGTGCTCTTGTGTCTTGAGCTGTCTTAAAACAGTCGTTTCTTTAACAGTAAAGCTCTGATGGTCTCTTAATCTGTGCAGCCAGTATCAGAAGCCTACCAGGCTGAGTCTCGCCCTCTGTCCCCCCTCTGTGCTGTCATTGTAATGAGGATTCCAGTGTGTGTTTTGGCTAACCGGATTTGCCCTTTGTATTTACCCTACTTTCTCCCCCTTGGCTGGCTTTAAGTAAGAGATGCTGAACATTAAATGGTGGTTGGTGAAGGAGTCAAATGCATCCCTTTCTACATCATGGTCCTCCTGTTACCTCATATATGCTGGGAGGACCTCTTCAAAGACCTCCTGTATAGCCCCTGTGTAATCCATGGTGCCCCTATAGCATATATCACAATTTTATACGGTTAAGAGAGAGGTCTGTGAATAACGGCCAAGTTTTGTCATGTGAAGTAATGTAATCTTCAAGGCAACGTACCTAACCATTATTTTTCATCAGCAATCAATTTGTTGATTATTTTTTGCATCCATCCTTTAATCGTTTGTGCTATAAAATGTCAAAACACGTGTCGCAAGGTTACATCTCCATATATTTTGTTTTGTTTGACCAACTGCCCGAAACCCACAGTTTAAAACTCAATTTAGGATGATATGAAACACAGAAAATGGCTAATTTTAACATTTGATGAGCTGCAACTAGCAGATTTTGATTTGATTAAATGACTTAAATGATTGATTAATGATTGACTGATCAAAATCACTGTCAATTTTCAACTACTTGATTAATTAACTAATTGGGTTTAAACACATCACATGTATGTGTATGCCCCCAAAAATATGAAAGTAAAGCTAATCCAGTCCGGCCATGTACTTTATGTTAACCTTTTTGTAAATGTTGCCGTGAGGAAGCCAAACTCTGTGAGTGAGGTGTGTACACTGATTTATACTC